AATCAAAATTTTAATAACCAAAATTATAATATAACAATTTATACTGAATTTTAAAATTGTTTATCTAGTTTCAATTAATGACATCAAAGTATTTAGCCAAAAATTACTGAGTTATTTGACAAAATGTGAAAAAATGTCCAAAATTTTATCAAACTCAAATCTGAGTTTCAACTACAAATTATTCAAAATTTTGATACTTAATTTTAGCGATAAATTTGAGCAATTTGCAGCAATAAATTTGAATAATTTGTAGCAATAAATTTGAACAATTTGCAACGATAAATTTGAAGCGATAAATTTGCAACGATAAACTTGCGGCAATAAATTTGCAACGATAAATTTGCAACGATAAATTTGCAACAATAAATGTGCAACAATAAATTTGCAACGATAAATTTGCGGCGTCGCATAAATTTGCGACGATAAATTTGCAGCGATAAATTTGCAACAATAAGTTTGAGCAGTTTGCAGAGAGCAATTTGCAGCGATAAATTTGAACAATAATTTGCAATTATAAATTACAATAATAATTTGAAGTACAAAATTTGTGTAAAAATGTGTAAAAATAAAATGTAGCAATATATTTGAACAAAACATGTGTAAAAATAAATTGTAACAAAAATTTGAACAAATTACATGCAATAAATTTGAACAAATTACTTGCAATAAAATTGAACAATAACTTGTAACTATAAATTGCAACAATTAATTGGAACAAAATTTGTGTAAAAATTTGTGTAAAAATTTGTGTTTCAAAAACACTCGTATCTAAAAATGCTCGTATTTCAAAATTTATATTTCAAGTTTACAGCTACCATTTATTGCTACAATTTGCCCAGTAATTGTTAAATTGCAATTTGCAATTTTTTAGCTCTACAAATGTCCTCTCTAAAAATTCAATAGACTATTTGCATTCGCTAAAAATAACTTAATCGTTTTTATTGCAAAGTAAACACTCTCCTGTCGAATAAAAAGGGCGCAGCTTTTGATTGATTGTGTTTATTTAGTACTAAGTACACACTTTTACATATAAAAATAATAAAAGTAATAAATCGAAATAGTAGATAATGTACAATGGAATTTTATTGCAATGTAATTGTTGTCAATCCATGAAAGATTGAAGTTAATAAGAAATAGAGAAGTTTGTGTTTGAACTCGTTTTACTCAAAATTTCAATATGTAGGTGTATAAAACAACTTATATTAAATTTTGGTGAATTTTATCTAGCTTTTACTAATGGAAAGAAATTAAAGTATCCTGAACAAAATTTTAAAGTTATTTGAAAAAATGTAAAAAAATGTCCCAAATCCGCATATAGCTAAAAGACTTTAGCTTTAGATTAGCAAAATTCTCAAGTCTGCGTTTCAACTACAAATTGTTCAAAATTTTGTTATACAAATGTATGGACAGTATAACAACAATTTATACTGAATTTTAGTACATTTTATCTTGTTTTTACTGATATAAACAACAAAAAGTGCCCAGAACAAAATTTGTAAGTTATATGATAAAATGTAAAAAAATGTCAAATCCACTTATAGCTAATTATCAAAATACTGAAGCCCGTGTTTCAACTACAAATTATGCAAAATTTTAATATCCAAGTGTATATAACGATTTATACTGAATTTTAGTACATTTTATCTAGTTTTGACTAACGTAAACAAATAAAAGTGTCCAAAACAAAAATTCCAAATTATTTGACAAAATGTTAAAAAAATGTCCTGACTCTATATTTTTCCTCCGCATTCCGGCCAGTTTTATGCAAAATTTCAATATCTAAGTATATACAACAATTTATACTAAATTTTAGTAAATTTTATCTAGTTTTGACTAATATAAACAATTAAAAGTGTCCGGAACAAATTTTTCAAGTTATTTTCCATAAATGTAGAAAGTGTACCATTAGTGTAATTTTCACTTTTCGCACATTTTTGCATTATAATAGATTAGAGAGCGTTCTGGATTACAAAAAATGTGTGATCTTTCTCATTATAGAATATGTAGAATCTATAGAACATTTGTATTTATAATTAATTGTTGTAAAATACCAATGGTTCCAAATAATTAGGAAAAAATGTGTTATTTAGCCACCAAACGTAATTTTGTAGTTGGGAGTAGAAATTATTTAAATTTACTACTTACTAAACTTACTTACTAAATTTATAAAGTACTTTACTATTTTGTGAATTGAAATTTGTATAAATACAATAATAAAAATCACTACAATTAACTAAAAAATTCACGAAAATCTTTATTATTAAACAAAAAAGCTAAAACAAGAACAGATGAGCTTTAAGTTGTTGACTCCATCTCATTTGAAAAAAACATTGCAAAAAAATATTTTAATATCGTTTTTAACAAAATAAATATTATTATCAATTATCAATATTAATTTTTTATTAATTACATATAAAATGTGAGCATTTTACATATAGTTTATATCAGTTTCTTTTCTCTTTGCCACAAAAACAAAACATCAACAAAACGAGATCAGAGAAAGTTTTCTATTAATCATAATAACACATGCTTATAGAATGTAGGAGAATTTATCAAGTTAAAATATAAAATTATGCTTGAAAAATAACAATACTAAACTAGGTGTGTATGGCATCGTGCCTTAAGGCAAATTGCTGGAACTTCCCGTACCGATAAGTAAATTTTTTTAGGTGCGCATGGCTTTAATGATCATTTTTGATAGCCAAATTATAATTATTAACATACTATAATAAATTAGTATTTTATTAGTATATTAATTTTTTTGAAGATAGTTAGCTTTTACCTTTCGACCTAATAATAAATATTTAGATATAATTATTTGGAATCGTTAACATAATGAAACTTAGGTTATTAAGAAAATGTTCTTAGATCTCTATATTTCTATATTACTGCAAATTTACGTTCTGACAAGTTTTATTGAAAAAAATAGTACAGAAGTATATATAATAATTTATACCATATCTTAGCAAAGTTTATTTAGGTTTTCCTGATATAAACAAATAAAAGTGTCCGGAACAAAATTTCCAAGTTATTTGACGAAATCTAGAGAAATGACTTTATTCCAATTATACTTCTTAGCAAAAAACTTAAGTCTGCGTTTCGACTAGTATTATTCAAAATTTCAATATGTAAGTGTATATAACAATTTATACTTAATTTCAGTAAATTTTATCTAGTTCCTACTAATATAAACAACTAGAAGTGTCCGGAACAAAATTTTCAAGTTATTTGACAAAATTTAAAAAAATGACCAGACTCTATATTTTTGCAATCACCATAATATACATGTCCGAGTTTTGACTAATTTTATTAAAAAATTTTATATGCAAGTGTATAAAACAATTTATACTAAATTTTAGTAAATTAATATAAACAAATAAAAGTGCCCAGAATAAAATTTCCAAGCTATTAGACAAAATATGAAAAAATGTCCTGGATCTATATTTTTGTTATTACATTAATGCAAAAGTCTGCGTTCCGACTAATTTTACTCAAAATTTCAATATGCAAGTATATATAACAATTAATAATTAATTTTAGTACATTTTATCTAGTTTTCATTAATATAAATAAATAAATGTGTCCGGAACAAAATTTCCAAGTTATTTGACAAAATCTAAAAAAAATGTCCTGACTCTATATTTTTGCAATCGCCACAATCTATAAGTCTGTGTTTCGACTGATTTTCCTCAAAATTTCAATAGGCAACTGTATATAATAAATTGTACTAAATTTTAATAAATTTTGTCTAGTTTTTATTAGTATAAATAAATAAAAGTGTCCGGAACAAAATTTCCAAGTTATTTGACGAAGTCTAGAGAAATGACTTTATTCCAATCATGCTTCTTAGCAAAAAACTTAAGTCTGCGTTTCGACTAGTATTATTCAAAATTTCAATATGTAAGTGTATTTAAAAATTTATACTAAATTTTAGTAAATTTTATCTAGTTTTTAGTGATATAAACAAATAAAAGTGTCCGGAACAAAATTTCCAAGATATTTGACAAAATCTAAAAAAATGTCCTGACTATATTTTTGCAATAGCCACAATTTTTAAGTCTGTGTTTTGACTGATTTTCCTCAAAATTTCAATAGGCAACTGTATATAATAAATTGTACTAAATTTTAATAAATTTTGTCTAGTTTTTATTAGTATAAATAAATAAAAGTGTCCGGAACAAAATTTCCAGGTTTTTTGGCAAAATGTAAAAAATGACCGAAACTCATGTATTTTTAAGTATCATCATAACAAATTTGCGTTTCAACTACAAATTACTCAAAATTTAAATATGCAAGTGTATATAACAATTTATACTATATTTTAGTAAATTTTATCTAGTTTTTGCTAATATAAACAAATAAAAGTGTCCGGAACAAAATTTTCAAGTAATATAAAAAATTGTCCTAACACCATATTTATAATTAGTAGAATGAAGAAATTAATTTTAATATTTAAAAAAATATTCATGTATTATCTTTTAAAGATAAGAAAATATTCGTGTTATATAAAATTATGTTTTAGAACGTGATATTAATGACATAACGATTTTAGATAAAATTTTGTATGTTTATTTTTTAAATAACAATTTTATGGAAGAAATATGAAATCTCTATTTTGCAATTTCTGGCAAAATTTATTAAGAGCATTAAAGAAATATTTAGAGAAATTTTGTAAACAATAATTATATAGTACGTTAATAAGTAATCATATAAATTCAATTTTTGTAAATACCAAAATTAAGTCTAAAAATGATAAACGTTTATATATTTACTGATTAAGATATTGTTACATTTAATAAAATTTGATCTAGTATTTTTCATATAACACAATATTGCAAATTATTTTTGAAACGAACTTGATAAAAAAATGTGATGGATAAATTTAATAATGCTTACTAAGGGATGATACATGGGGAAAAGTATTATATAAAATTGAGATTATATAATTAGTATATATATATATATATATATATATATATAATATTTATTAGTTATCTTACCAAAATATCTGTCAGGTTCGAGTCCAGCTTCAATATCAAGCCCGCATATCACAAAATAATCCACTAATCTATTATAGCAATCATGATTTGAAAATTTAGCACAACTTTCCGTTTCCATATTTATCACCACAATTTTCTTCTTCAATTAACTAATCACCATCACACCATTACACCACTCACATTTTAATTGAACTAAATTAAATTAAACTGATGAGTATTTCAATTAAGATGTAAACACTTTCTTCTCTCCGGGGATGCTGTAAGGGATGCATGGTAAAGGATTTTACATGACACGCGTTGGGGTTTGTTGTTGTTTGTGGTAATGTTGGGGTTGTTTAGAGGGTTATTTTAACTCTTTTTTTGTTATATACAGTGACATTTGCGTAAGCCAGCTGTATTTACAAGCGTTCTCGTTTCTAATCTGTGGCCTGGGCATTTAGTGACAGGCCGTGATGGTGGGGAATGACGTTTGAGGAAAGCATAGACATGCTTGTTACCTATATAGATCGGACTTTGCGGTTTAAGTAAGGGGTCCTTCACACAAAAACGATGACTTGAGGAATGAACTAGTGGGGTGTATGGCATCGTGCCTTATGGCAAATTGCTGGAACTTCCCGTACAGTAATGTAATAATCAAATATATTATTACAAATACTGTAGCTATCATTATTTTTGCTATCTATTGTTATATCTGAGCAAATCCAATGTAAATTATAAATAAATCAATTCATCTCCAGAACATTAACAATCGTCATTTCATTTCATTTCGAATTCAATTTCAAAAAAATAGTTGCCTAATTTGTACAAAATTGAAAAAGTGCTTCCGTATAGTCACAGTCTAAACGCATTTGCAAATATTTCTGTGTGACATTTTCTCTTAGACTCTGCTTGGCTGGTCGGCATTTTCACATTTTCCAATAGTTTTTACAAAATTAGAAAAGTGCTCCAGTAAATAAGCATTCTAAACGCACTTGGGTAAACATTTTTACCAGAGTGGCGCTTAGACTGTGCTTAGCCTGGGTAATTTTTTGAATTTTTAATCCAAAATTACAAAAATATTTTTTGGAAAAAAAATAGAAACAAAAATTTTTTTTCCAAAGGTAATTATTTTGTTGTAACAAGAAACAAAGAAAGTTCTTTGAATCATTTAAATCGGACGCTTAGTTGCCAAAAACTAATATTCACTTTTTCCCTTTACTCTATTAATTCACTTTTCAATTAAATTAATTGTAACATTTTTTACACAACTAGAAAAATTTTGTTACTTGCGCACCATCTGGTCGATCTGGTCACTTACCTTTTAGACAATCTTTTTGCAAATCTAGTCGCGGCTTTTTCTTAACGAATTTATTCCAAAGGCTTGTAAACTTGTAAAATTTAGATTTTAATTTAACACATTACAAAAGCGACTTTTTTCACAAATTTTGACTAAAAAAATTTTTCAAACCTTGATGAATTTTTAAAATTAAACTACTTCTCGTAGAGTCGTAATATTTTAGTATGTTCTATAAGACCATGATATCTATCATTATTCAAAGTTACATTTAAAAAATCGTTAAGAGTTAATTACAAAGAAACAGCTCGGTCAATCTTTGTTTAAAACCAATCAGTACGATTCACAACCAACATCTTTCAAATGATTTTTGAATTTTTAAAATTTATTATATAGCTTTATATTGTATTGTATTATATCAAGCTAATAAAATTTACTTTACATCTAAAATTATAATAATAAAAATTAAATGTTATGTTAAAGAAACATATGAGTAAACAAGAGTAGAATAAATTTTATTTAACAATAAATTGAAATTTATATTTTATCACTGACTGACTAAATTTGAATATGTAATAATTATATAAAGGAACTTAATTTGATAATCTGAAAACAATTGTAAAATAAACATTGCTCAAGTATAATTTGGTATTTTATTTAAATATTCAATATAAAATAAATATAATTTGGTATTTTATTTAAATATTAAATATAAATTCAAATTATTTGAATCAAGTCTTCAAAAACTAATTCAAATCAAACTTTATTTGATTTGATTGCACTCGTATAAAGCCAGAAAACATATTTGTTATATAATATGTATGAATATAAAGTTTAATAAATATCAAGAACATAATTTTGTTAAATATAAATATAATATTTGAATCATATATCTTTCTAATTCGAATCGCCATCACTGATCGACTGATTTGAATGAATATAGTTCTGCTTTTCGCTACCGAGCGGCGCTGCATGTCGATTTATCCATGTAATTTTCATCGTCAATGACGGCGATTATCACTTTGAGTCTGTTCGCAGTGGCAGTTTGTGACGATCCACAACTCTTCCAAACTCATTCTGATTTGTTATGCTGCGTCTCCACTGCACGAATCCGTGCGGCGAATCCTGTTCGCGACGCACGCATGCGTTGGCTCTTGTGCGCGACGCACACTGCGAGCAATTTGATACATTTGAAATTTTTAGGATTCCATAATATTTTTTTTCTTGATACAGTTCAATTATAAGAAGTGTAAAGAAGTATAACATCTTCTCTACGCATATCCATTTTCAAAATTGAGGATAAGATGAAATATCTCAATGCCTTCACTGTACAATTGAACTTATACCGTAGCACAGATCAACGTTTACGTACAAGTTCAAAGAAATAACGGATACGGATACAGAATGCAGGCTGACCAACAATAATTGTCAGTTTTGAATAAAAATTATTACTTCTGTTCTAAATATAAATACTTGTCAGAAAAGACTTAGAACAATAATTCAGTCTGCATATGAATAAGATTTTAAATGATATTTAGCGTAATTGCAAATAATACAATATTACCATTTTTTTTTGAAACATTTAATTTATTTTAATTATAAATATATGATACGTCATATAAGTAGTAAGAGTATATATATGTATATATGTATATATATATATATATATATATACATGATAATATCATGATGATATAAAATTAACTCTGAAATATGATAAATAAAGTGCACCAAAATATATTTTAGTTGGATATACATATATTTTAACAAATCTATAACTTAATTAACGATGTATTTTCTATACTAATAGTTAGATAAAATTATAATCAGTACATCAATTTTAATTACTGCTTACTTATTTACATTTTTGATCAGCGCTTTGACGCTAATTTATTAGTGTCGGTTCGGGTATTCTCGGCAGCCCGATGCGTCGGGTTGCTCGCGGCGGGTGGGAGCGCCGCGAACGCAAGCTATTGAAATTTTCGTGTCGCTTCGACCATGTTCGGCAGGGTACGTGATTCTAAAAATAAACCCCCTCCCATTTTCAAACAAAAAAAAAAGAAAAAAGTGCGCTATGGACATGCGCAGTGAACAAATTTGAAGGAAATTCGTGCGTTCGCACAGTATCACTCCGCTGCGCACATTTGTTCGTGACGCACCATTCGCCGCACGGATTCGTACAGTGGAGACGCGGCATTACACTGCGCATGCGCCGTCTCATGACTGTTTCCAACGATTTGACAGGATCGAACGCGACCTAACCTTCACAAACCGTTTAGTATAATTCGTTTTGTTTTTATGTTTGTTTGGGCAGTTGAATATTGATATAATACTACTAGTTTTAATTAAATTATATTATTTATTATTTATATTTTTTTTAGCTTTATTGTTTAATATAATAATAGATTAAAAATATAATAAATAAGTTTTTCGATGCTTATTTTCATCAAATATATAAAACAGTTATTCAATTATTTATTTTTAATCGTTAAACTCCTGTAAATTTGATGAATTTATTAATCTCATACTTTATTTGAGGTTAGAAAAGTCAAGAATTAATGTTTTCAAAGAATCGGCATCCATGTTCTCTGACAGTCACAAACGCATCAAACCGAGCTGACCGAACGCGTAGATAAAAATCCACAACAGTTTGGGATTCAGTTTGGACACATCGAACGGTCAAAACGATCTGCGCATGCGTCTGACGGTTGCGGACTGTCGGTGACTGTACTCCGAACAAACCCTTTGTTTTCTGTTAAAAAGAAATTCATTCTTCATTATACAGTTACAGTTCAATTGCAACAACTTGATTACACCGACACGAAATTAAAGTTCATAGAAATCATAACAGAAGTGTAAACTATTACCGCAAGTTTTCTATTATCATTTATCATTTATTATTTTATTTCTCTAGTTGTCTTTATCAGGTATGTTTATACATTCCAATGACAGTGCGTTAAACAAAACATTATTGTTTAATATTTTTCTATTTCCTTTACATATTACAATGCCGATTTTATACAGCGTTGTGTTTCGTGGCACAACGGTTTTAGCCAAATATGCCTCATGTACTGGTAATTTTGCACAAGTCACCGAAGAAATCATGGTCAAAATTCCAGCCCATGATATATCATAGGCAAACAGATAATTGGTAAGAGGAAATGTCAATTTATTATAACAAATTGACCTTTTCTCATACCAATTATCTGTTTCACTACATCTGCAAGAACAGGATCATTTATATGTGCCTCACGAACAATGTAAGATAACAGATGTAGGATTTATGAGTATATTGAGTCTTATTGAAATGCTATATAGATTTTGGGTTTTTGATTAGGATTTTGAAGTATACCGAGTTGCTGCAGGGAATTTTGATGTTAGACAAGATTATAGATTATCTACTTTTCTACAAATTTGGCAAATATTTCATTAAATTTGATATACGGTTTAAAAGTTACAAGAGTTGCTGTAAATGCTAGAGTCTTTTCTTTGAACTATTTAGTAATTTCAGATTGTTTTGCTGCTTTCAGTTGAGTTTTTAAAGTAAACTGAGTTGCTGTAGAGTGTTGGATGTTGGAAAATATTATAGATTATTCAATTTTGTACAAATTTGCGAAAAGTTTCATTAAAATTAAATGAACAGTTTAAAAGTTACAAGAGATGGAATAAATAAATGCACGAATATTTTTCTTTTGTTATAATAGTTAGAAAATTTTTTTGTTTTCAATTCTAGAAAATATTTTAAATTAGGTGGAAATGGCATTTTCTCTTGAATTAAGATTTATCTATTTAAATCAAGATTATCAAAATATTATTGGATTTTAAATATCCAAAACAACTTAGTATTCCGAGTTGCAAATTTAATTGTAATTAGATTTTAATCGTTTTGTTATTGTATAAACTATTATAATACATCACAATTTTTTATTTTATCTGTTATTATTCATCATTTTTAAATTCATTTTTAATTTTTATAATATCTGTATATAATTAAGTCTATTAATAGATTTTGATAATCTTGATTTAAATAGATAAATCTTAATTCAAGAGAAAATGCCATTTTCACCTAATTTAAAATATTTTCTAGAATTGAAAACAAAAAAATTTTCTAACTATTTCTAAATTTATAATAATAATAATTGTATTTATAATCATTAAAAAGGTTTATTAAATATCATATATTATATATAATATATATATATATATATATATATATAATGATTAATATTACATAATAGGAATAGAAATACATTATATATATATATATATAATGTATTTCTATTCCTATTATGTAATATTAATCATACCATATATATATATATATATATATATATATGTAAGTTGTAATTAAGTTTCAGGTTTGCTTAATTATTTATTCATATAAATACCAATTATTTATTACTGTATTTACAAATTTATTTTACTATAAACCTAGATCTTTACAAAATCATTTTTATTGCATGTTTTATTTAATAGACTTTCATTATAAAATCTAATTAATAATATATAAACAAAATATATAATGTATTTCTATACCTATATTTCTATTTCTCTTATAGAAGTTTGAAAGAGCAAGAGCCTTCCTATTTCTAAACGAAATCAAAAGAAGATCCTTAGAAACTATTGAAAATGCAATAGCCTATATTATGATAAACAGTGATTTTTCAAAAGTTTTGGCAGCAGAAATGAAGCACTTTTTAGAATCTCGAGAAATAGGCAAAGTTAATGGACAGTTAGATGAACTTAATAACAGTATGGTCAAAAATATATTTAATTATAATATATATATATATATATATATATATATATATATATCTTATATATAAAATTGTTCTGTAACTATGTATGAGTGGTTAATCCTCCTAAACTATAATTCGGATTTTCATGAATCTTCCTGAAGTTTGTTCGGGAATTTTTTTAGTATTTTTAGATTCATAGAAATATAGTTAGATTTTAGAAAAAAATGGAAAAATTTACAAAAAAACGCGTATCGTGTTTTACCCTACTTTACCAAATCACGATACAAAAATAATTTACTTATTCAAACAATTATTTAGAAGTTTCATTGTGTCAAAAATTCATATGTTTGGCATTGGATACGAAATATTTACTAGACAATGGAGCATTTTGGGTCTGAATATTTTTAATGTGCTCCAATTTGCATAAAATTTTGGAATTAGGTTCATCTTACTCTCTTAAGTTTAAAAGTAAAAATAATTTAGAATCATTTGCCACTTTCTGGGGTGATAACATCCCTTTTCAGTGGTGCAATTGTATCTCTTTCAAATTAACGACGGATATCGATAAAAGAACTAATTAGAAGAGAACTAGCTGTAAGTGGAATTCTGTCTTAAGGCAATTAGGGCATCGTGCCTTAAACCAAGCAAAGCTGGAACTTCCCGTACCAAAAATTATTATTTTTTTTTAAAAACGATTAACATTTTTGAAAAAAATTTACTTTGAAAAAATAAGATTTTTGAGAAACTATAAATTGGACAAAAAATTAGTTTTTTTTGAAAAAAAAAAAGTTTTTTTTAAAAAATTTTTTTTTAAAAAATATTTTTTTTTTTGAAAAAAAAATTTTTTTTTCTTTATTTTGACATATTGTGGAAGATCTGAACTTTTTTTTCAAAGCAATCGTAGTGCTTTAACTGCATAAGGACAAAATATAAAGCGCGTAAGCGCCGCGTCGCTGTCTAACGGATAAACACTGGTACGGAACCCATAGGAATGTTAACAAAACTTATACTTATTGTTAAAATCTCTATAAAATATCTGATAATTTGATGTGCATATGTCTAATGACCATTTTTGACCGCCAAATGGCTCATTTTTTTTTTACTTTTTCCTCTATATCTCCGAAACCGCTGGACCTACTTTCATGAAAATTGTATCGATTCGTCATCTTGTCAATACAAATAAAATGTTTTTTGAATTATTCAAATCGGACGCTCCTTTCTCTTAAAAACGGAGGTACCGTTTTTGGCATTTTTTGCCCCGTATCTCCGGAACGGCTAAATCTGCCCTCGCCAAAAACTAATCAGCACGTCTCCTTATCAATACAAATCGATTTTTTTTTTTGAATTATTGAAATCGGTTGATCCGTGTTCCCGAAATCGTCGACGAAAATTTGTATCCGCACATACATACACACACACACATATACATGCATTTTTTCTAAGGTATGCCAAAATGTTCAGAAACCTCTGAAACGTAAAGATATATAAAAATTTTCATTTTCGATTTTTTTGCGATTACTATAACTTGCCCTACGGGAAGTTAAAATTGTTTAATAATGATTCTCAAAAATGAAATTACTTTTCAAGTTACTGGCTACTAAAAATTTGTTGTTTTTTGCGTTTTTTATCATTTTTGCAAATATTTCTGAAAATATACATTTAAACAAAAATCATGTAATGAACAAAATTATATCAATTAAAATCCTAATAAATCGGTGTTCTATAAACTGTTCTAGGAACAATATTAGGCTAGATATGAAAATGGGGTTTTATAGTACTCAAAATAAGCTTTAAAATGAGTACTTAAATAAATATAGAATAATGTGAAAGTATCCTTTTCTCTTCGTGATTATAAATATCATGGAACTTAGTCACCTATTTCATGTTAATTACTTATCTAATTTTGTTATTGTATTATATAGGATTTGAAGAAACTGCATTACCTGCTCCAGAAATCAGAGAACCAGCACAGACGTAAGTACATATTTCAGATCATAAAGTCATATTTAGTACCGTTTTATTATTGTCATGTATTGTCAAGTTATTTATATGTTACATATCGAAAGTAACGGCTTCTTTTTGATATTCTTTAGTAATACTATAATATGTAGAATTAGTTGTAGGCTTAATTAAATATTTTCCCAAAAGGGTTACATCTATAAGCTAAACATATCCAACATCAAATCAATCACCAATGGGTGACTTTTTGACCTTTTTTTCTTTTATCTAATAAACCATCAAAATTACTAAATGTTGTATAAGAACGACAGATTGTAATCCCCAAATGTAAATTAAAAAAAACTAAGCTAAACATATCCAACATCAAATCAATCACCAATGGGTGACCTTTCAACCTTTTTTTCTTTTAACTACTAAAACCATCAAAATTACTGAATGTTGTATAAGAACGACAGATTGTAATCCCTAAATGTAAATTAAAAAAAACATATCGAAAGTATAATATTTGTCGATATCATTTTAGCTTATTTTACAACTTTGAAAGGTAATAAATTCGAATTAGCCTCTTCAATAAACTTAAAATTTTGCATACTATTTAATATTACTGCAAAATTTTTGAATGATTGGTTCAGCTGACGATTCTTAGCTGCTTAACTTCTTTTATTAAATGTTGGTAAAAAGTAAAATTTTGGCTCACAAACACATTCTCTTACCAATTCTGATGGTGAAACATAAATGAATTTGAATCGTTTAAAAAAATAAACAAGAAAGAATATAATAATCAGTCTTGAAAAATAAGTAAATTATGGGCTATTTCTGAATCTTCTCATTAAGAAAAATTAAATATATAAAATAATTGTATAAATATAAATGTAACGTTTTAATATATTTATGTAAATTACAATATTCCATAAAATTATTCTGCTGGAGTTTAGACCCATAAACATGCAACACTATTTATATAACTACTAGCCCGTACCAAATATTATTATTTTTTTAAAAACGATTAACATTTTTGAAAAAATTTTACTTTGTAAAAATTAGATTTTTGAGAAACTAGGAATTTGACAAAAAAATACTTTTTTTGGAAAAAATGTTTTCTTTATTTTGACATATTTTGGAAATTCTGAATTTTTTTTCAAAGCAATCGTACTGCTTTAACTGCATAGAGACAAAATGTCAAAGCGCGTAAGCGCCGCGTCGCCGTCTAACGAATAAAATTGGTACAGAACCCATAGGATGCAAACAAAATTTATACTTTATTTTATTTATTAAAATCTGTATAAAATATCTGATAATTTGATGTGCATATGTCTAATGTTCATTTTTGATCGCCAAATGTCAATTTTTTTTACTTTTTTCATTAGATCTCCGAAACCGCTAAACCTGCCTTTATGAAAATTTGATCGGTTCTTCACCTTGTCAATACAAGTAAAATGTTTTTTGAATTATTAAAATCGGACGCTCCGTTCTCTTAGAAACTGAGTTACCGTTTTTGGCACTTTTTGCCCCGTATCTTCGGAACGCCTAGACCTGCCTTCGCCAAAAACTAATCAGCACGTCTCCTTATCAATACGAATCGAATGTTTTTTGAATTATTCAAATCGGTTGATCGGTGTTCCCGAAATCGTCGACGAAAATTTGTATCCGCACATACATACACACACACACATATACATGCATTTTTTCTAAGGTATGCCAAAATGTTCAGAAACCTCTGAAACGTAAAGATATATAAAAATTTTCATTTTCGATTTTTTTGCGATTACTATAACTTGCCCTACGGGAAGTTAAAATTGTTTAATAATGATTCTCAAAAATGAAATTACTTTTCAAGTTACTGGCTACTAAAAATTTGTTGTTTTTTGCGTTTTTTATCATTTTTGCAAATATTTCTGAAAATATACATTTAAACAAAAATCATGTAATGAACAAAATTATATCAATTAAAATCCTAATAAATCGGTGTTCTATAAACTGTTCTAGGAACAATATTAGGCTAGATATGAAAATGGGGTTTTATAGTACTCAAAATAATCTTTAAAATGAGTACTTAAATAAATATAGAATAATGTGAAAGTATCCTTTTCTCTTCGTGATTATAAATATCATGGAACTTAGTCACCTATTTCATGTTAATTACTTATCTAATTTTGTTATTGTATTATATAGGATTTGAAGAAACTGCATTACCTGCTCCAGAAATCAGAGAACCAGCACAGACGTAAGTACATATTTCAGATCATAAAGTCATATTTAGTACCGTTTTATTATTGTCATGTATTGTCAAGTTATTTATATGTTACATATCGAAAGTAACGGCTTCTTTTTGATATTCTTTAGTAATACTATAATATGTAGAATTAGTTGTAGGCTTAATTAAATATTTTCCCAAAAGGGTTACATCTATAAGCTAAACATATCCAACATCAAATCAATCACCAATGGGTGACTTTTTGACCTTTTTTTCTTTTATCTAATAAACCATCAAAATTACTAAATGTTGTATAAGAACGACAGATTGTAATCCCCAAATGTAAATTAAAAAAAACTAAGCTAAACATATCCAACATCAAATCAATCACCAATGGGTGACCTTTCAACCTTTTTTTCTTTTAACTACTAAAACCATCAAAATTACTGAATGTTGTATAAGAACGACAGATTGTAATCCCTAAATGTAAATTAAAAAAAACATATCGAAAGTATAATATTTGTCGATATCATTTTAGCTTATTTTACAACTTTGAAAGGTAATAAATTCGAATTAGCCTCTTCAATAAACTTAAAATTTTGCATACTATTTAATATTACTGCAAAATTTTTGAATGATTGGTTCAGCTGACGATTCTTAGCTGCTTAACTTCTTTTATTAAATGTTGGTAAAAAGTAAAATTTTGGCTCACAAACACATTCTCTTACCAATTCTGATGGTGAAACATAAATGAATTTGAATCGTTTAAAAAAATAAACAAGAAAGAATATAATAATCAGTCTTGAAAAATAAGTAAATTATGGGCTATTTCTGAATCTTCTCATTAAGAAAAATTAAATATATAAAATAATTGTATAAATATAAATGTAACGTTTTAATATATTTATGTAAATTACAATATTCCATAAAATTATTCTGCTGGAGTTTAGACCCATAAACATGCAACACTATTTATATAACTACTAGCCCGTACCAAATATTATTATTTTTTTAAAAACGATTAACATTTTTGAAAAAATTTTACTTTGTAAAAATTAGATTTTTGAGAAACTAGGAATTTGACAAAAAAATACTTTTTTTGGAAAAAATGTTTTCTTTATTTTGACATATTTTGGAAATTCTGAATTTTTTTTCAAAGCAATCGTACTGCTTTAACTGCATAGAGACAAAATGTCAAAGCGCGTAAGCGCCGCGTCGCCGTCTAACGAATAAAATTGGTACAGAACCCATAGGATGCAAACAAAATTTATACTTTATTTTATTTATTAAAATCTGTATAAAATATCTGATAATTTGATGTGCATATGTCTAATGTTCATTTTTGATCGCCAAATGTCAATTTTTTTTACTTTTTTCATTAGATCTCCGAAACCGCTAAACCTGCCTTTATGAAAATTTGATCGGTTCTTCACCTTGTCAATACAAGTAAAATGTTTTTTGAATTATTAAAATCGGACGCTCCGTTCTCTTAGAAACTGAGTTACCGTTTTTGGCACTTTTTGCCCCGTATCTTCGGAACGCCTAGACCTGCCTTCGCCAAAAACTAATCAGCACGTCTCCTTATCAATACGAATCGAATGTTTTTTGAATTATTCAAATCGGTTGATCGGTGTTCCCGAAATCGTCGACGAAAATTTGTATCCGCACATACATACACACACACACATATACATGCATTTTTTCTAAGGTATGCCAAAATGTTCAGAAACCTCTGAAACGTAAAGATATATAAAAATTTTCATTTTCGATTTTTTTGCGATTACTATAACTTGCCCTACGGGAAGTTAATAATAAATATACAATATTATTAGTGCTAAATCCGTTTTAAAATATTAACCAATAAAATATAATATTAGGCGATAATTATTACAAATATTACAGGAGGAAGCCAAGTATTAGTTCGGAAATTGATTTAGATGAATTTCTCACTGATCCACGTCTAGCTGAAGACATTTTATTGGTAAGATTATTGGTATTTCATTGAGTTTGATTAGGATAAAAAAAAATGATTAATGATGTATTGAATAGTAGTTGAATCCTTTTGTAATGACATCAAAGGGACGAAAAACATGTCGAAAGAAGGAGATGACATAGAAAAACATATTAAACTACAGACATTGAAAATTTTACATATGTTTTATTTACATGATCACATTACAAATTCAGTGTAATTATATACAACTAGCAAACCCGACGAACTTAATTTGGCCACCAGATGGTTTCGTGAGAAAGATGAAGGAATTTTTTGTTTGTTTTATATTTGAAAAGGAAAAATTTGATTTTATTATACAACAGTAATGAATTTATTTCGATTACAAAAATGAAGTGTTTTTTAGTTGAACTTCTCTAAGTAAATGAAAGTGAATCCGCCAATTATCCGTTTCATTGAAGTGCTCTTTGGTAAACCACATTTTTTGTTTTTTGGTCTGACGTTAACACAAACAAAGCGGATGGTTTTCCAACTCGTGAACAGGCAACGTATAACTGCCCATGTGAAAAACAATGATTTTCTAAATAATCTATTTGAAATTTATCCCGCAAACACTAAGCGATTGGCCTTGCGACTTGTTATTGCAAACGCAAGGCAAACTGGGAATTGCAATCGTTTGAAGTCAAACGGAAGACCAGTCGGAATCATTGGTATGTCACCAAATCGCCAGAAATTTTTGATTGAATGGTGAAATTCAGTGCGTGTACATCATTATTCTTTGCGGCAAGAATTGCTCGTTGGCTTAACCAAGCATAATTCTGATAATTCTCACTAATGTCATTACTCGAATTTTTAATTACGGTGAGTAAAGTTCCAGCAGCTTGCATTAAGGCACGATGCCATGCACCACTTTTTTTATTTTTTTAGCTATAAACTTGCGGAGCCCGAGACCTTTCCAACGAATGCAAAATTGTCGAAATCGGTTCGTGCGTTCTGAAGTTATTTCGTCAGGAAGGAAAACCCGACTTATTTTTATATATATAGATGATAACAATGTTATTATTGTTTCGCCGTTCAAATGATTAATTTTTTCATTTATTATTTTATGAACTTAATATTTAATAATCAGGAACGCCCACCTGGTTGGCAGCCAGCACGGCGTCCCAGAGCAAGAAGGCGTGTAAAATTCGATAAAAAAATTTCAATCGATGACTGGCATTCACCAGAGCGTCTTAGCCACATATTACAGCCTAGATTAGATCCAGATGTAAGTTAAAATTGTCCAATAGCTTACCAACTAAAATTTTTCATTAGCATTTTTAAGTCTGAGTTTCATTTATATTTACAGCATTTCTAATTTATTAAATAGTATTTATATTTATCTTACAATTTAACCTATTGAATTAATCACCATCATCTTGTTATATTTACAGTGTATATATGTATAGATAACGTTGAGAAAATTTTATTACAGGAAATGCTCCCTCGTCCACGGCAGCAGGGGTTTTTCAGCAGAATTCCTGACGCTTGGTAATTATGAATTTATCATTTATATACTCATACATATTTACATATAATACAACAAATACGTATATCTCCGACACGTAGGTAGATGACATAAAATCCTATGTCTAAACGTTTGGGAAAATTAAGGATTAACTTCTAAATCTTTGCCTTTTATTTGATGTATTTCCCTTGAAGAACTTACTCATATTTCTCAACATCTAAATTAACTTCTTTAACATATATATATATATATATATATATATATATATATATATATATAAATATATATATATATATATATATATGTTATTTAACATATATATAATATATATATATATATATATATATATATATATATACATACAGGGCCGGTCCTGGGGTCCTCAGCGCCCGCATGCAATTTTTTTTCTAGCGCCCTCCTCCCTCCCTTATTATTTTAACTGTTTTAACAGTTTATCATTAAAATTATAAAAAGATTTACGTTATTTTTTTAAATAGTTTCTAATAACTCTGGCTTTACACAAAAAATTAGATATATAATATAAAAGCACATTGATGTTAAATTCATTTAGAATATCGTGGCGATTCTTCATAATCACTTTCAAACTACTTTTAAATTCTTATTTTTATTACAAACTTATTTATTTTGGAGATTTTATGCGATTTATTCTATTAAACAAATCATGGAAAGCAAAAAAATCTAGCCTTTTATTATTAAACATTATAACACTGGTGCTTTATGTCGGGTTATTTTATTTTGTTTTTTTATTATCTAAAATATCCAAAATTGCATCTTAAATATTGTTAAAAAATTAGTGAAAAATGAAAGAAATAATGTTTCTTGAATTATATTGAAAAAAAACTATATAGATAATTTCATTTCTGAATCTCGTTTTGGCGCCCCCTAAGGCGTGCGCCCGCATTTTTTGCATGCATCGCATTCAAGGCAGGACCGGCTTTGTATATATATATATATATATATATATATATATATATATATATACAGTGGTGTTTTGCTAATATTTCTTTTACCGGAACGCTAAAATTAAAAATCTGGTTCAAAAACCGTTTCTCATGTTTGTTCCGGTTCCGTTCTTCAAAGAAAAAGAAACAAAAATCATTACAAAACTCATTTTATACATATATATGTATATTTATTTCAATAATAAAAACGTTTAATAAAAACAGTTAAATTATAAATTAAAAAATTTACTTATCAAATCATTTTCTGTATGTAGGGGGAAGAACGATAGGAATTACTAGTAAATAAAACTGACAATCTGGGCAATAACGTAAGTACATAAATACATTTTTATCTTCCTCTGTTTCTTCTTACTCATTTTTTTTTATATTCAGTCTGTTACATTTCGCAAAACTTCAAGAAACCTGGCAAGAGCTATGTTTTGGAGAAAAATAAAAATATACTTGGTAATTGCTGGAGTTCTAATTCTTGGGACCTATCTAATCGGGTCCTTGTGACTTGCCTGGAAATCATGCACTGGATAAATAAAATTTAATCCAAGCTAAGAAACCTTATTATAAATCTAAAATTATATAAATCTAAAAGAAACATAATTTAACAATTAAAGTAGGAAATAATTTTTGAGTAGAATAAATTTTATTTAACATGATTTAACAATAAATTTAAATTTATATTTCATCACTGACTGTTTATATAATATTTGAATATGTATTAATTATATAAAGAAACTTAATTTAATAATCTGAAAAAATACTTATGAAATACTGAATAAATTTTATTTAACATGATTTAACAATAAATTTAAATTTATATTTCATCACTGACCGTTTATAAACAACTGTTATATATATATATATATATATATATATATATATATATGTATATATATATATATATGTATAACAAACTGTTTATAAATTAAGTTCTTTTATGTAATTAATACATATTCAAATATTATATATATGTAATATATTAATTATATAAAGGAACTTAATTTAATAATCTGAAAAAGTACTTATGAAAAACTGAATAAATTTTATTTAACATGATTTAACACTAAATTTAAATTTATTGTTCATCACTGACTGTTTATATAATATTTGAATATGTATTATAATTATATAAAGGAACTTAATTTAATAATCTGAAAAAGTACTTATGAAATACTGAATAAATTTTATTTAACATGATTTAACAATAAATTTAAATTTATTGTTCATCACTGACTGTTTATATAATATTTGAATATGTATTATAATTATATAAAGGAACTTAATTTAATAATCTGAAAAAGTACTTATGAAATACTGAATAAATTTTATTTAACATGATTTAACAATAAATTTAAATTTATTGTTCATCACTGACTGTTTATATAATATTTGAATATGTATTAATTATATAAAGGAACTTAATTAATCTGAAAAAATACTTACGAAATACTGAATAAATTTTATTTAACATGATTTAACAATAAATTTAAATTTATATTTCATCACTGACTGTTTATATAATATTTGAATATGTATTAATTATATAAAGGAACTTAATTTAATAATCTGAATAAATACTTATGAAAAACTGAATAAATTTTATTTAACATGATTTAACACTAAATTTAAATTTATTGTTCATCACTGACTGTTTATATAATATTTGAATTTGTATTAATTATATAAAGGAACTTAATTTAATAATCTGAAAAAGTACTTATGAAAAACTGAATAAATTTTATTTAACATGATTTAACACTAAATTTAAATTTATTGTTCATCACTGACTGTTTATATAATATTTGAATTTGTATTAATTATATAAAGGAACTTAATTTAATAATCTGAAAAAGTACTTATGAAAAACTGAATAAATTTTATTTAACATGATTTAACACTAAATTTAAATTTATTGTTCATCACTGACTGTTTATATAATATTTGAATATGTATTAATTATATAAAGGAACTTAATTTAATAATCTGAAAAAGTACTTATGAAAAACTGAATAAATTTTATTTAACATGATTTAACACTAAATTTAAATTTATTGTTCATCACTAACTGTTTATGTAATATTTGAATATGTATTAATTATATATAGGAATTTAATTTAATAATCTGAAAAAATACTTTGTTTTCTCAAAAAAAACTGTAAAATAAACATTACTCAAGTATATTTTAATATTTTATTCAAATATTTTAAGTAATTCGAATCATTTGAATCAAGTCTTCAAAACCTAATTCAAATCAAACTTTATTTGATTCGATTTAACTCGCGTCAAGCCGTAAATATATACTGTAATACAAAATATATAAATATACATTTCAATAAAAACTATATAACAAATAATTTTGTTAAAAATATATATAAGTAATATTTGAATCTTATATATTTTTTTAATTCGAATCAATGAATTTTCGAATCGCCATCACTGATCGACTGAATTGGACGGATATAGTTCTGCTTTTCGCCACCGAGCGGGGCTGCATATCTATTTATCATGTAATTTTCATTGTCTATGACGGCGATTATCAAAAGTCAAAAGTGAGTCAAAGTGTAAATATCGAGACTTGTTTTTCTGTCAAAAAGAACGTCATTCTTCATTATACAGTTCAATTGCAACAACATGAATACTCCGATACGAAATTAAAGTTAATAAAAATCATAACAAAAGTGTAAACTATTACCATAAGTCTACTATTATCATTTATCATTTATTATTTTATCTCTCTAGTTGTCTTTATCAGGTATGTTTATACATTCCAATGACAGTGCGTTAAACAAAACATCATTGTTTGATATTTTTCTATTTCCTTTACAGATTACAATGCCGATTTTATACAGCGTTGTGTCTCGTGGCACGACGGTTTTAGCGAAATATGCCTCATGTGCTGGTAATTTTGCAGAAGTCACCGAACAAATCATGGCCAAAATTCCACCCGATGATAATAAATTGACCTATTCTCATGGCAATTATCTGTTTCACTACATCTGCGAGAACAGGATCATTTATATGTGCATCACGGACGATGTAAGATAATAGACATAAGATTGGATTTATAAGTATATTAAGTCTTATTGAAATGCTATATAGATTTTGAGTTTTTGATTGGGATTTTGAAGTGTACCGAGTTGTTGTAGGGGTGTAGGATGTTAGAAAATGTTATAGATAATTTAATTTTCTACAAATTTGGCAAATATTTCATTGAAATTAGATAAACGGTTTAGAAGTTACAAAAGTTACAATAAATAAATGCTAGAGTTTTTTCATTGAAATTCCTAGTAAGTTCAGATTGTTTTGCTGCTTTCAATTGAGTTTTTAAAGTACACTGAGTAGCTGTAGGTTTTGAATGTCAGAAAATATTGCAGATAATTCAATTTTGAACAAATTGGCCAAATATTTCATTTATATTAGACAAACGGTTTAAAAGTTACAAGAGTTACAATAAATAAATGCTCAAGTCTTTTGTTCAAACATTTCTGGTACATACAGATTCATTTTTTGCTTTTGATTCAAATTTTAAAGTATACCGAGTTACTGTATGGATTTGGATGTTAGAAAATATTATAGATTATCTAATATTGTACAAATTTGCCAAATATTTCATTGAAATTAGATGAACCGTTTAAAAGTTACAAGAGTTACAATAAATAAATGCATAAATATCATTCTCTTCAACATTCAGAACAATTTTTTGTTTTCAACCCTAGAAACTATTTAAAATTAGGTGTAAGTGGTATTTAGCCTTTCATGAATTGAGAGCTATTTAAATCAAAATTAGTGAAATTTTATTATAATAATATTGAATTTTGAAAATCCAAATCAACTTAGGAGTATACCAAGTTGCAAATTTATTTTATCTGTTATTCATCATCATTATTAAATTTATTTTTAATTTTTATAATACCAGTATATATTCAAGTCTATTCATAATAATAATAGTATTTATAATAATTATAAAGATATATTAAATATTATATATACAGTTGCAATTAATTTTCATGTTTACTTAATTATTTATTCATATAAATACAAATTATTTATTTCTGTATTTATAAATTTATTTTACTATCAATCTATTTAAAATCATTTTTAATGCATATTTTATTTATCAGACTTTCATTATAAAAACTAATAAATAATATAAAAAGAAGATCTTGGTCAAACAAAATATATAATGTATTACTGTTCCTATATTTCTATTTCTTTTACAGGAGTTTGAAAGAGCAAGAGCTTTCTTGTTTCTAAACGAAATCAAAAGAAGATTCTTTGCATCTTTCGGTATGACTGCAGAAAATGCAATAGCTTATGCGATGAACAGTGATTTTTCAAATGTTTTGGCTGCAGAAATGAAGCACTTTTCAGAATCTCGAGAAATAGACACCATGGCCAAGGTTCATGGACAGTTAGACGAACTTAAGGACATTATGGTCAAAAACATAGGTAATAATATACATATGTATATATATATATATATATATATATATATATATATATATTTATATATATATATATATATATATAAGGGTGGTCCTTAAAATGGTCATTTTCGAATTTCCTCTGAAAGTTGTAGCTCTTAATATTAATGTTTAGATAGAGATAGTCTCCTTAAAATCTATTCTCTTTATGTCACATGTCTAAATACAATTTGAGATTTGCCTATGGGCAAGTTGCTGTTTTAAAAAAAAAATCACAAATTTAGTTTTCAATGCAAAGAGATATTAAATTCGTGTTCTGCTCTTTCTTCTATTCTTTTATATGTCCACCTACGGGCAAGTTGCTTTTTTTCCATGAATTCGATTTATTATTTTGTTACTAATTAAATATTAATGAAATTTAAAAATTGATTGAAGTCGTGCTGTACGAATCTGTTTAATGATATGCTAAAAGTTCTTAGCTATTTTCCTAGTGGCAAGTTGCTAATTTACAATTTTGTTATAAAAATCTAGCCGACATATTTGTTTTTTAAATGATAAAATGAATTAAAATTGATATTAGATTCGTATTCAGCTCTTCGAGATCTATTAAATGATGTCACATGATAAATGTAGTTAGACATTTGCCTATGGGCAAGTTGCTTCACTTAATTTTTTGCGGTTTCAGTTTTATTATTTTACTTACAATAAAAGTGTCTATCCATAACTAATATAAATGCAAACATTTCTAAAATGATTCTTTTTTTTTCAGGTCCTTTTAACATCTTCATTTTCGCATTTTTTATCTGGATATATTCTGGTTATAGTTTTTCTAACATAAGCGCGACGTCTTCGATGACTTTTGCTATCAACATATGAATCATTATTAACTTCTGAAAATTGTTTCTCTTCATTTGTGTACATTAAAAGAAACAGCATTAGCATAAATTTATTTTAAACCTAATTTTTTTATCACAATTATACCTCTAAATTGTTTAAAAGTTCTCTGATTTCTTGCAATTCTTTAAAAATGTACTGAACACTCTGTTCAAGACACTTTTCCACTTTGGTTAGTTTTTTTTCTTCTTTCGTTTTAGACATTTTGTGAGAAATATATTTATAATTAAATAAATAAATGTACTGCTTAAATTCTGCTTGCAGACTGGGTAAAAGTTGAACTAAATATGCCAATCGAAATAATATATTTCATATGTTTTATTTAATTTTAAGTTATTTTAATTCCATTGATGTAATTTTATTAAAATAAATAAATGTACGTATAGAAATTTACAAATGGTGTTTTATATATTAAATTATATATGTGTGCAATATTTCTTTCAGTTTTTGACAAAAACAAAATACTTTTTAAACAGACATGTTTCGAGTCCCAATTTGAATCTTCTTCAGTAGATGAATAAACGAAAAATGTTACAAAAAATAATACATAAAATATTTCAATAATTTCGTAGTTCTTACAATGGAAACAACTATAGATCCATATTCTCTAGTGAAAATTGATATCATCATTGCATGGTACAAAGTCAGGTTATATGTACATTTTATTTGACTATTTCATTAATATAATATCTATTATAATTAAAATATCTTTATATATATATATATATATATATATATATATAACTCTTCAGTTTTCTTTTTCTTCAATTTCCTTATACTCGTATGTAGTCTTTCTTTATTAACTTCGCGTAGGGTAAGTTATTGTAATGGGCCGAAAATCTGAATTGAAAATTTTTACATTTCTCGACGTTTTGAAGGTTTCTGAACGTTTTGGCATACCTCAGAAAAAATGGATGTGTGTGTGTGTGTGTGAGTGTGTGTATGTATGTATAGATACAAATTTCCAGTCACGTTTTAGGGCGCACGGATCAACCGATTTGAATGGTTCAAAAAACATTCGATTCCTATTGATAGGAAAAAGAGCTGATTAGTTTTTGGCAAAGGCAGGTCCAGCCGTTTCGGAGATACGAAGCAAAGAGTGCAGAAAATAGAAATCGAATTTTTGAGTGAACGGAGCATCCGATTTGAATGATCTAAAAAACATTCAATTAGTAATGATTGGGAGAAGTGTTTATTAGTTTTGGGCAAAGGCAGGCCTATCCATTTCGAAGATACGGAGCTAAATGTGCAAAAAATGGCAGTTTTTGAGAGAACTAAGCGCCCGATTTAAATGATTCAAAGAACTTTCTGCTTGTCTTAACAAAATAATTGATTTTGGAAAAAAAAATTTGTACCAACTTTTTTTTTTTTTGTTTTTAATTTTTTGTATATCGAAAATAATTTAGAATTTATTTTTAATTCTGATGACTATAGTTCTAATATGCTTTACAAATAATTTCAACTTTGCAATTCAGTTTATATAATTCTTATAAATATTAGACAATGTTACAATATTGATAATAATCTATTTGAAAACATTCAGTATTCCTCGAACATTTCGTTACGGTACGGGAAGTTCCAGCAATTTGCCTTAAGGCACAATTAGTGAATGATTATTTGTTTCTCTCTGTAAGTATTTGGTGGGTGTTAGAAGTTTCAAGTTTAGAAAATTTATTATAAATCTAAAATTATATGAATAGAAATTAAATGTTATGTAAAAAATATAATTTGGCAACTGCAATGAGAATTTTTAAACAAACAAGAGTAGAATATATTTTGTTTAACAATAAATTCAAATTTATATTTCATCACTGACTGTCTATTTAAAATTTGAATATGTATTAATTATATAAAGAAACTTAATTTAATAATCTGAAAAAATACTTTTTTCTCAAAAACAACTGTAAAATAAACATTGCTCAAGTATAATTTAGTGTTTTATTTAAATATTTCAAGAAATTCGAATTATTTGAATTAAGTCTTCAAAACCTAATTCAAATCAAACTTTATTTGATTTGATTCAACTGGTATAAAGCCAAAAAATATATTTTGTGATATAATATGTATGAATATAAAGTTTAATAAATATCAAGAAAATAATTTTGTTAAATATAAATATAATATTTGAATCATATATCTTTCTAATTCGAATCGCCATCACTGATCGACTGATTTGAATGAATATAGTTCTCTTTTACGCCACCGAGCGGCGCTGCATGTCGATTTATCCATGTAATTTTCATCGTCAATGACGGCGATTATCACTTTGTTTTCTGTTAAAAAGAAATTCATTCTTCATTATACAGTTACAGTTCAATTGCAACAACTTGATTACACCGACACGAAATTAAATTTCATAAAAATCATAACAGAAGTGTAAACTATTACCATAAGTCTACTATTATCATTTATCATTTATTATTTTATCTCTCTAGTTGTCTTTATCAGGTATGTTTATACATTCCAATGACAGTGCGTTAAACAAAACATCATTGTTTGATATTTTTCTATTTTCTTTACAGATTACAATGCCGATTTTATACAGCGTTGTGTTTCGTGGCACAACGGTTCTAGCGAAATATGCCTCATGTGATGGTAATTTTGCAGAAGTGACCGCAGAATTCATGGTCAAAACTCCAGCCTATGATAATAAATTGACCTTTCCTCATGGCAATTATCTGATTCACTACATCTGCGAGAACAGGTTCATTTATATGTGCATCACGGACGATGTAAGATAATAGACATACGATTGGATTTATAAGTATATTGAGTCTTGTTGAAATGCTATATAGATTTTGGGTTCTTGATTGTGATTTTGAAGTATACCGAGTTGCTGTACGGAATTTTGATGTTAGACAAGATTATAGATTATCTACTTTTCTACAAATTTGGCAAATATTTCATTAAATTTGATATACGGTTTAAAAGTTACAAGAGTTGCTGTAAATGCTAGAGTCTTTTCTTTGAACTATCTAATAATTTCAGATTGTTTTGCTGCTTTCAGTTGAGGAAATATTATAGATTATTCAATTTTGTACAAATTTGCCAAAAGTTTCATTAAAATTAAATGAACCGTTTAAAAGTTACAAGAGATGGAATAAATAAATGCACGAATATCATTCTTTTGTTATAATAGTTAGAAAATTTTTTTGTTTTCAATTCTAGAAAATATTTTAAATTAGGTGAAAATGGCATTTTCTCTTGAATTAAGATTTATCTATTTAAATCAAGATTATCAAAATATTATTGGATTTTAAATATCCAAAACAACTTAGGAGTACACCGAGTTGCAAATTTAATTGTAATTAGATTTTAATAGTTTTGTTATTGTATAAACCATTATAATGCATCACAATTTTTTATTTTATGTTATTATTCATCATTTTTAAATTCATTTTTAATTTTTATAATATCTGTATATAATCAAGTCTATTTATAATAATAATAATTGTATTTATAATCATTAGAAAGGTTTATTAAATATCATATATATATATATATATATATATATATATATATATATATATATTACCATATATATATATATATATATATATATATACATACAGTTGTAATTAAGTTTTAGGTTTGCTTAATTATTTTCATATAAATACCAATTATTTATTACTGTATTTACAAATTTATTCTACTATAAACCTAGATCTTTACAAAATCATTTTTATTGCATGTTTTATTTAATAGACTTTTATTATAAAATCTAATTAATAATATATAAACAAAATATATAATGTATTTCTATTCCTATATTTGTATTTATCTTATAGAAGTTTGAAAGAGCAAGAGCCTTCCTACTTCTAAACGAAATCAAAAGAAGATTCTTAGAAACTATTGAAAATGTAATAGCCCATGCTGTGATGAACAGTGATTTTTCAAAAGTTTTGGCAGCAGAAATGAAGCACGTTTTAGAATCTCGAGAAATAGACAAAGTTAATGGACAATTAGATGAACTTAAAAACAGTATGGTCAAAAATATATTTAATTATAATATATATATATATATATATATATATATATATATATATATACATATATATATCTTGTATATAAAATTGTTCTGTAACTATGTATGAATGGTTAATCCTCCTAAACTATAATTCGGATTTTCATGAATCTTCATGAAGTTTGTTCGGGAATTTTTTTAGTATTTTTAGATTCATAGAAATATAGTTAGATTGTAGAAAAAAATGGAAAAAATTACAAAAAAACGCGTATCGTATTTAGCCTTACTTTACCAAATCACGATACAAAAATAATTTACTTATTCAAACAATTATTTAGAAGTTTCATTGTGTCAAAAATTCATATGTTTGGCATTGGATACGAAATATTTACTCAAGACAATGGAGCATTTTAGGTCTGAATATTTTTAATGTGCTCCAATTTGCATGAAATTTTGGAATTAGTTTCATCTTACTCTCTTAAGTTTAAAAGTAAAAATAATTTAGAATCATTTGCCACTTTCCGGGGTGATGACATTCCTTTTCAGTGGTGCAATTGTATCTCTTTCAAATTAACGACGGATATCGATAAAAGAACTAATTAGAAGAGAAAAATGTTTAATAATGATTCTCAAAAAAGAAATTACTTTTCAAGTTACTGATGGCTACTAAAAATTTGTTGTTTTTTGCGTTTTTCATCATTTTTGCAAATATTTCTAAAAATATACATTTAAACAAAAATCATGTAATGAACAAAATTATATCAATTAAAATCCTAATAAATCGGTATTCTTTAAACTGTTCTAGGAACAATATTAGGCTAGATATGAAAATGGGGTTTCATAGTACTCAAAATAAGCTTTAAAATAAGTACTTAAATAAATATAGAATAATGTAAAAGTATCCTTTTCTCTTCGTGATTATAAATATCATGGAACTTAGTCACCTATTTCATGTTAATTACTTATCTAATTTTGTTATTGTATTATATAGGAAATGAAGGAACTGCATTACCTGCTCCAGAAATCGGAGAACCAGCAATTCGGCCGGAAGAACACAACGTTTCATTGTAAGTACATATTTAAGATCATAAAGTCATATTTAGTACCATTTTATTATTGTCATGTATTGTCAAGTTATTTATATGTTACATATCGAAAGTAACGTCTTCTTTTTGATATTCTTTTGTAATACTATAATATGTAGAATTAGTCGTAGGCTTTATTAAATATTTTCACAACAGGGTTACATCTATAAGCTAAACATATCCAACATCAAATCAATCACCAATGGGTGACTTTTTGACCTTTTTTTCTTTTATCTAATAAACCATCAAAATTACTAAATGTTGTATAAGAACGACAGATTGTAATCCCCAAATGTAAATTAAAAAAAACTAAGCTAAACATATCCAACATCAAATCAATCACCAATGGGTGACCTTTCAACCTTTTTTTCTTTTAACTACTAAAACCATCAAAATTACTGAATGTTGTATAAGAACGACAGATTGTAATCCCTAAATGTAAATTAAAAAAAACATATCGAAAGTATAATATTTGTCGATATCATTTTAGCTTATTTTACAACTTTGAAAGGTAATAAATTCGAATTAGCCTCTACAATAAACTTAAAATTTTGCATACTATTTAATATTACTGCAAAATTTTTGAATGATTGGTTCAGCTGACGATTCTTAGCTGCTTAACTTCTATTATTAAATGTTGGTAAAAAGTAAAATTTTGGCTCACAAACACATTCTCTTACCAATTCTGATGGTGAAACATAAATGACTTTGAATCGTTTAAAAAAATAAACAAGAAAGAATATAATAATCAGTCTTGAAAAATAAGTAAATTATGGGCTATTTCTGAATCTTCTCATTAAGAAAAATTAAATATATAAAATAATTGTATAAATATAAATGTAACGTTTTAATATATTTATGTAAATTACAATATTCAATAAAATTATTCTGCTGGAGTTTAGACCCATAAACATGCAACACTATTTATATAACTAGCTGTAAGTGCTAGCTCGTACCAAATATTATTATTTTTTTAAAAACGATTAACATTTTTGAAAAAATTTTACTTTGTAAAAATTAGATTTTTGAGAAACTAGGAATTTGACAAAAAAATACTTTTTTTTGGAAAAAATGTTTTCTTTATTTTGACATATTTTGGAAATTCTGAATTATTTTTCAAAGCAATCGTACTGCTTTAACTGCATAGAGACAAAATGTCAAAGCGCGTAAGCGCCGCGTCGCCGTCTAACGAATAAAATTGGTACGGAACCCATAGGATGCAAACAAAATTTATACTTTATTTCATTTATTAAAATCTGTATAAAATATCTGATAATTTGATGTGCATATGTCTAATGTTCATTTTTGATCGCCAAATGTCAATTTTTTTTACTTTTTTCATTAGATCTCCGAAACCGCTAAACCTGCCTTTATGAAAATTTGATCGGTTCTTCAACACAAGTAAAATGTTTTTTGAATTATTAAAATCGGACGCTCCGTTCTCTTAGAAACTGAGTTACCGTTTTCGGCACTTTTTGCCCCGTATCTTCGGAACGGCTAGACCAGCCTTCGCCAAAAACTAATCAGCACGTCTCCTTATCAATACGAATCGAATGTTTTTTGAATTATTTAAATCGGTTGATCGGTGTTCCCGAAATCGTCGACGAAAATTTGTATCCGCACATACATACACACACACACACATATACATGCATTTTTTCTAAGGTATGCCAAAATGTTCAGAAACCTCTGAAACGTAAAGATATATAAAAATTTTCATTTTCGATTTTTTTGCGATTACTATAACTTGCCCTACGGGAAGTTAATAATAAATATACAATATTATTAGTGCTAAATTTTAAAATTTTAACCAATAAAGTATAATATTAGGCGATAATTATTACAAATATTACAGGAGGAAGCCAAGTATTAGTTCGGAAATTGATTTAGATGAATTTCTCACTGATCCACGTCTAGCTGAAGACATTTTATTGGTAAGATTATTGGTATTTCATTGAGTTTGATTAGGATAAAAAAAAATGATTAATGATGTATTGAATAGTAGTTGAATCCTTTTGTAATGACATCAAAGGGACGAAAAACATGTCGAAAGAAGGAGATGACATAGAAAAACATATTAAACTACAGACATTGAAAATTTTACATATGTTTTATTTACATGATCACATTACAAATTCAGTGTAATTATATACAACTAGCAAACCCGACGAACTTCATTTCGCCACCAGATGGTTTCGTGAGAAAGATGAAGGAATTTTTTGTTTGTTTTATATTTGAAAAGGAAAAATTTGATTTTATTATACAACAGTAATGAATTTATTTCGATTACAAAAATGAAGTGTTTTTTAGTTGAACTTCTCTAAGTAAATGAAAGTGAATCCGCCAATTATCCGTTTCATTGAAGTGCTCTTTGGTAAACCACATTTTTTGTTTTTTGGTCTGACGTTAACACAAACAAAGCGGATGTGAAAAACAATGATTTTCTAAATAATCTATTTGAAATTTATCCCGCAAACACTAAGCGATTAGCCTTGCGACTTGTTGTTGCAAACGCAAGGCGAACTGGAAATTGCAATCGTTTGAAGTCAAATGAAAGTCCAGTCGGAATCATTGGTATGTTACCAAATCGCCAGAAATTTTTGATTGAATGGTGAAATTCAGTGCGTGTACATCATTATTCTTTGCGGCAAGAATTGCTCGTTGACTTAACCAAGCATAATTCTGATAATTCTCACTAATGTCATTACTCGAATTTTTATATGCGGTGCGTGAAGTTCCAGCAATTTGCATTAGGGCACGATGCCATGCACCACTATTTTTTTTAGCTATAAACTTGCGGAGCCCGAGACCTTTCCAACGAATGCAAAATTGTCGAAATCGGTTCGTGCGTTCTGAAGTTATTTCGTCAGGAAGGAAAACCCGACTTATTTTTATATATATAGATGATAACAATGTTATTATTGTTTCGCCGTTCAAATGATTAATTTTTTCATTTATTATTTTATGAACTTAATATTTAATAATCAGGAACGCCCACCTGGTTGGCAGCCAGCACGGCGTCCCAGAGCAAGAAGGCGTGTAAAATTCGATAAAAAAATTTCAATCGATGACTGGCATTCACCAGAGCGTCTTAGCCACATATTACAGCCTAGATTAGATCCAGATGTAAGTTAAAATTGTCCAATAGCTTACCAACTAAAATTTTTCATTAGCATTTTTAAGTCTGAGTTTCATTTATATTTACAGCATTTCTAATTTATTAAATAGTATTTATATTTATCTTACAATTTAACCTATTGAATTAATCACCATCATCTTGTTATATTTACAGTGTATATATGTATAGATAACGTTGAGAAAATTTTATTACAGGAAATGCTCCCTCGTCCACGGCAGCAGGGGTTTTTCAGCAGAATTCCTGACGCTTGGTAATTATGAATTTATCATTTATATACTCATACATATTTACATATAATACAACAAATACGTATATCTCCGACACGTAGGTAGATGACATAAAATCCTATGTCTAAACGTTTGGGAAAATTAAGGATTAACTTCTAAATCTTTGCCTTTTATTTGATGTATTTCCCTTGAAGAACTTACTCATATTTCTCAACATCTAAATTAACTTCTTTAACATATATATATATATATATATATATATATATATATATATATATAATATATATATATATATATATATATATGTTATTTAACATATATATAATATATATATATATATATATATATATATATATATATATATACATACAGGGCCGGTCCTGGGGTCCTCAGCGCCCGCATGCAATTTTTTTTCTAGCGCCCTCCTCCCTCCCTTATTATTTTAACTGTTTTAACAGTTTATCATTAAAATTATAAAAAGATTTACGTTATTTTTTTAAATAGTTTCTAATAACTCTGGCTTTACACAAAAAATTAGATATATAATATAAAAGCACATTGATGTTAAATTCATTTAGAATATCGTGGCGATTCTTCATAATCACTTTCAAACTACTTTTAAATTCTTATTTTTATTACAAACTTATTTATTTTGGAGATTTTATGCGATTTATTCTATTAAACAAATCATGGAAAGCAAAAAAATCTAGCCTTTTATTATTAAACATTATAACACTGGTGCTTTATGTCGGGTTATTTTATTTTGTTTTTTTATTATCTAAAATATCCAAAATTGCATCTTAAATATTGTTAAAAAATTAGTGAAAAATGAAAGAAATAATGTTTCTTGAATTATATTGAAAAAAAACTATATAGATAATTTCATTTCTGAATCTCGTTTTGGCGCCCCCTAAGGCGTGCGCCCGCATTTTTTGCATGCATCGCATTCAAGGCAGGACCGGCTTTGTATATATATATATATATATATATATATATATATATATATATACAGTGGTGTTTTGCTAATATTTCTTTTACCGGAACGCTAAAATTAAAAATCTGGTTCAAAAACCGTTTCTCATGTTTGTTCCGGTTCCGTTCTTCAAAGAAAAAGAAACAAAAATCATTACAAAACTCATTTTATACATATATATGTATATTTATTTCAATAATAAAAACGTTTAATAAAAACAGTTAAATTATAAATTAAAAAATTTACTTATCAAATCATTTTCTGTATGTAGGGGGAAGAACGATAGGAATTACTAGTAAATAAAACTGACAATCTGGGCAATAACGTAAGTACATAAATACATTTTTATCTTCCTCTGTTTCTTCTTACTCATTTTTTTTATATTCAGTCTGTTACATTTCGCAAAACTTCAAGAAACCTGGCAAGAGCTATGTTTTGGAGAAAAATAAAAATATACTTGGTAATTGCTGGAGTTCTAATTCTTGGGACCTATCTAATCGGGTCCTTGTGACTTGCCTGGAAATCATGCACTGGATAAATAAAATTTAATCCAAGCTAAGAAACCTTATTATAAATCTAAAATTATATAAATCTAAAAGAAACATAATTTAACAATTAAAGTAGGAAATAATTTTTGAGTAGAATAAATTTTATTTAACATGATTTAACAATAAATTTAAATTTATATTTCATCACTGACTGTTTATATAATATTTGAATATGTATTAATTATATAAAGAAACTTAATTTAATAATCTGAAAAAATACTTATGAAATACTGAATAAATTTTATTTAACATGATTTAACAATATATTTAAATATATATTTCATCACTGACCGTTTATAAACAACTGTTATATATATATATATATATATATATATATATATATATATATGTATATATATATATATATATGTATAACAAACTGTTTATAAATTAAGTTCTTTTATGTAATTAATACATATTCAAATATTATATATATGTAATATATTAATTATATAAAGGAACTTAATTTAATAATCTGAAAAAGTACTTATGAAAAACTGAATAAATTTTATTTAACATGATTTAACACTAAATTTAAATTTATTGTTCATCACTGACTGTTTATATAATATTTGAATATGTATTATAATTATATAAAGGAACTTAATTTAATAATCTGAAAAAGTACTTATGAAATACTGAATAAATTTTATTTAACATGATTTAACAATAAATTTAAATTTATTGTTCATCACTGACTGTTTATATAATATTTGAATATGTATTATAATTATATAAAGGAACTTAATTTAATAATCTGAAAAAGTACTTATGAAATACTGAATAAATTTTATTTAACATGATTTAACAATAAATTTAAATTTATTGTTCATCACTGACTGTTTATATAATATTTGAATATGTATTAATTATATAAAGGAACTTAATTAATCTGAAAAAATACTTACGAAATACTGAATAAATTTTATTTAACATGATTTAACAATAAATTTAAATTTATATTTCATCACTGACTGTTTATATAATATTTGAATATGTATTAATTATATAAAGGAACTTAATTTAATAATCTGAATAAATACTTATGAAAAACTGAATAAATTTTATTTAACATGATTTAACACTAAATTTAAATTTATTGTTCATCACTGACTGTTTATATAATATTTGAATTTGTATTAATTATATAAAGGAACTTAATTTAATAATCTGAAAAAGTACTTATGAAAAACTGAATAAATTTTATTTAACATGATTTAACACTAAATTTAAATTTATTGTTCATCACTGACTGTTTATATAATATTTGAATTTGTATTAATTATATAAAGGAACTTAATTTAATAATCTGAAAAAGTACTTATGAAAAACTGAATAAATTTTATTTAACATGATTTAACACTAAATTTAAATTTATTGTTCATCACTGACTGTTTATATAATATTTGAATATGTATTAATTATATAAAGGAACTTAATTTAATAATCTGAAAAAGTACTTATGAAAAACTGAATAAATTTTATTTAACATGATTTAACACTAAATTTAAATTTATTGTTCATCACTAACTGTTTATCTAATATTTGAATATGTATTAATTATATATAGGAATTTAATTTAATAATCTGAAAAAATACTTTGTTTTCTCAAAAAAAACTGTAAAATAAACATTACTCAAGTATATTTTAATATTTTATTCAAATATTTTAAGTAATTCGAATCATTTGAATCAAGTCTTCAAAACCTAATTCAAATCAAACTTTATTTGATTCGATTTAACTCGCGTCAAGCCGTAAATATATACTGTAATACAAAATATATAAATATACATTTCAATAAAAACTATATAACAAATAATTTTGTTAAAAATATATATAAGTAATATTTGAATCTTATATATTTTTTTAATTCGAATCAATGAATTTTCGAATCGCCATCACTGATCGACTGAATTGGACGGATATAGTTCTGCTTTTCGCCACCGAGCGGGGCTGCATATCTATTTATCATGTAATTTTCATTGTCTATGACGGCGATTATCAAAAGTCAAAAGTGAGTCAAAGTGTAAATATCGAGACTTGTTTTTCTGTCAAAAAGAACGTCATTCTTCATTATACAGTTCAATTGCAACAACATGAATACTCCGATACGAAATTAAAGTTAATAAAAATCATAACAAAAGTGTAAACTATTACCATAAGTCTACTATTATCATTTATCATTTATTATTTTATCTCTCTAGTTGTCTTTATCAGGTATGTTTATACATTCCAATGACAGTGCGTTAAACAAAACATCATTGTTTGATATTTTTCTATTTCCTTTACAGATTACAATGCCGATTTTATACAGCGTTGTGTCTCGTGGCACGACGGTTTTAGCGAAATATGCCTCATGTGCTGGTAATTTTGCAGAAGTCACCGAACAAATCATGGCCAAAATTCCACCCGATGATAATAAATTGACCTATTCTCATGGCAATTATCTGTTTCACTACATCTGCGAGAACAGGATCATTTATATGTGCATCACGGACGATGTAAGATAATAGACATAAGATTGGATTTATAAGTATATTAAGTCTTATTGAAATGCTATATAGATTTTGAGTTTTTGATTGGGATTTTGAAGTGTACCGAGTTGTTGTAGGGGTGTAGGATGTTAGAAAATGTTATAGATAATTTAATTTTCTACAAATTTGGCAAATATTTCATTGAAATTAGATAAACGGTTTAGAAGTTACAAAAGTTACAATAAATAAATGCTAGAGTTTTTTCATTGAAATTCCTAGTAAGTTCAGATTGTTTTGCTGCTTTCAATTGAGTTTTTAAAGTACACTGAGTAGCTGTAGGTTTTGAATGTCAGAAAATATTGCAGATAATTCAATTTTGAACAAATTGGCCAAATATTTCATTTATATTAGACAAACGGTTTAAAAGTTACAAGAGTTACAATAAATAAATGCTCAAGTCTTTTGTTCAAACATTTCTGGTACATACAGATTCATTTTTTGCTTTTGATTCAAATTTTAAAGTATACCGAGTTACTGTATGGATTTGGATGTTAGAAAATATTATAGATTATCTAATATTGTACAAATTTGCCAAATATTTCATTGAAATTAGATGAACCGTTTAAAAGTTACAAGAGTTACAATAAATAAATGCATAAATATCATTCTCTTCAACATTCAGAACAATTTTTTGTTTTCAACCCTAGAAACTATTTAAAATTAGGTGTAAGTGGTATTTAGCCTTTCATGAATTGAGAGCTATTTAAATCAAAATTAGTGAAATTTTATTATAATAATATTGAATTTTGAAAATCCAAATCAACTTAGGAGTATACCAAGTTGCAAATTTATTTTATCTGTTATTCATCATCATTATTAAATTTATTTTTAATTTTTATAATACCAGTATATATTCAAGTCTATTCATAATAATAATAGTATTTATAATAATTATAAAGATATATTAAATATTATATATACAGTTGTAATTAATTTTTATGTTTACTTAATTATTTATTTATATAAATACAAATTATTTATTTCTGTATTTATAAATTTATTTTACTATCAATCTATTTAAAATCATTTTTATTGCATATTTTATTTATCAGACTTTCATTATAAAAACTAATAAATAATATAAAAAGATGTTGGTCAAACAAAAAAATATATAATGTATTACTGTTCCTATATTTCTATTTCTTTTACAGGAGTTTGAAAGAGCAAGAGCCTTCCTGTTTCTAAACGAAATCAAAAGAAGATTCTTTGCATCTTTCGGTATGACTGCAGAAAATGCAATAGCTTATGCGATGAACAGTGACTTTTCAAACGTTTTGGCTGCAGAAATGAAGCACTTTTCAGAATCTCGAGAAATAGACACCATGGCCAAGGTTCATGGACAGTTGGACGAACTTAAGGACATTATGGTCAAAAATATAGGTAATAATATACATATGTATATATATATATATATATATATAATATTTAATAAATAATAAACAATTTTTTAGATAATGTTGCAATGCGTGGAGAACGATTAGAATTACTAGTAAATAAAACTGACAACCTGAGCAATAATGTAAGTACATAAATACATTTTTATCTTCCTCTGTTTCTTCTTACTCATTTTTTTTTATATTCAGTCTGTTACATTTCGCAAAACTTCAAGAAACCTGGCAAGAGCTATGTTTTGGAGAAAAGTAAAAATATACTTGGTAATTGCTGGAGTTCTAATTCTTGGGACTTATTTAATCGGGTCCATGGCTTGTGGTGGACTTGCCTGGAAATCATGCACCGGATAAATTCTACATTTTACTCACGTTATTTTGTATATATGTAACCAATATTAAACGACACAGTAGAAATGCAATATCAGTAAACTAAAGACTATATATACATATATATCTATCGTTCAATTTATATTTTTATAGTATTATTGTTTTTATATCAAATTGATGGTCAAGGAGGATATGTTTGCATATATTTTTTTGATGCGGTCAATACTTTTGCTCTTTTGCATATGTGATACAACGAGATGAAACTTGTGATGGAAAAATATTTAGCTACATGATTTAAACTTTTCCTCTTAGTATAAATATGATAAAAACATTTCATAGTAATTGAAAGACTAAATTTTTGTCACAAATAAAATATAGTTTCAGTAATGAAAGACATATACATATATCTTTATATGTGACAGAAATATAAAATAAATTTATACATGTATAGAATATTTGCAATGCTTTTTAGCAGTTGTATTTTTATATATTTAGTTGTAATTATATATTGACATATTAATTGTATATTATATTATAATAAAATCTTTACTTTTTAACTATTTGCATTTGTTTAACTCATAACTTTTAAACTGTTTGTTCAAATTAAATTATAAATGTGGCAAAATTAAATAATCTATAATATTTTCTGATTAGCAACTGAATAAAAAAATGTTTGTACAGAATATATTTATTTTATATATTGATTATACATTTTTAACAATTCAAATTAACAAATAGAAAAAACAAGTTATAGTTTATTAATTATTATTATTAATTAACAATATAACTCATATATTTCAAACAAATCCTAAACAAATTTTGATGAATATAAGTGAATTTCAAATTTCTATTTGAATTTCGCGCTTTAAATTGTACAAGAAGTGACAGTGATTCTGACACATGTTGATAACTTCAATTGTCAAAGAAATTTTCGCGAATTAACACGCGGTTGAGTTAATTAACGTTTTTTAATTAAATCCTTGATTAGTTTTAATTAATTTATGCATCAAAACGTGTAATTAATTTAGTAGATCATCTTGATATAATAAATTTATCGCGAAATGTTAATTAAAAGCCAGAAAAATGGATATGTTTGGAAGTGCCTAAATGTACCTTGAATAGTTTTATAAGCATCTCTTTCAGGGCCTCCATTTTGAATCAATTTTATAATTAAACAATTTATTTACAGCGCCAATGTATCCTTCAATTATATACATGTCATTATCAATAGTATAATTTATATATGTGCTTTTGTAGGTTATTAATTCATTTACAGCACCAATGTATCCTTTTATAATTTATATTTGAGTACTTCCAACACATATCTCTTTATTATCGATTTCTAAATTCACGAAAGTCTCTAATGTAAGTCGTGTGTCGTGTATTGTGTAAAGACTTTACTCGGACAATTGCAACAGGTCGAATAGACTTGTAAAAGACTAAAGTTATGTAGTGGTTATAAAGTAGTGATTTTGTGTCGAGTACTTGAGATTTCTGGCAGATGCTCCAGAGGTGGTTCGAGTAATGAGTTAGTGCTCTGGGAGCTGCTGTAGATGATATCGAACAATGTAAGTGCAAAGCATGTTTTATACAAAGCGAGTCAAAGAATATATTTCTGATATATACAGACATTTATCACACTACATCTGATATGTAGTACTTTATTTTAAATATTAATTATTTAATTCTTATGTGTATATATATATATATATATCTATATATATATATATATATATATATATATATATATATATATATATATATATATATATAAAGAGAGAGGGTTTTCTTCAGATGGTGAAGTAATATGATAAAATTGTTCTTGGGCATCCATCCAGTAATTAATAACAGTTTTATTGAAAGAAAATGTTTTGATTCAATTAATTTATTAAATTGGTTAGATTTATGCTTTTTTACATGTTTTTATTTATATTTTTCTGTGGATGGGTCTAATCAAGACCCGAAACATATGTTTTCTTAATAAAAACATTTTCTTTCAATAAAACTGTTATTAATTACTGGATGGATGCCCAAGAACAATTTTATCATATATATATATATATATATATATATATATATATATATATATATATATACACACATAAAAATTAAATATTGAATATTTAAAATAAAGTACTACATATGCAGTATATATGGATTAAGTTTTTCTTATCTTTGAATTTAAAGCAGTAAAATAATTTTGAAAATGTTTACTTCATCACAATATTTTTTGTAATCTTTAGTGAAACTATAATTTGGATAGAAACAAATAAAAAGATATTACTCATAATTGATTTTCTGAAAGAGGTTTACAATTAATGACCGAGTTTTTTATCATATACTACTTTTATGCTTGTAATGATAATATTTCTTATATAGTTATGTATTTGATGCTTGTTTTTCACATTAAATGAAATTAATTGAAAGATGCTTTAAGAACTTGTGCCTCTCTTATCCGATATCATTTATAAAGGAGTCTGTATATATTTTAGTGAAATATTTTCTGGCCCGTGCATTATTAATATAGTTGTATACATATATCTGCTGAAAATATTGTTTATACTATTATATTTGAGTCAATATCATTTTCTTTAATAAGATATACTTTATTAATTTTTAATTCATAAAATACAATATATTCTTTGTTTATTCAACTACAACTATTGTGCTAATAACAGATTTTAAATTAATTTGGCAGACATATGTATAAAAGATTATGTTCATATTTAATTTGTTATGGGGAAAACATGTTGATTCAGTTTTTTTATTTTACTTATGAATTAAAATTTTATGAATGTTTTGATAAAAGTTTGTACTTCTCGTATGTATCAAAGACATTGAAAGTAATTTATATTATTACAATTCCATAATAATATTCCACCAGAAATTCTTTTGTTCTATAACAACACTATGAGCTAATTTTGTGTAGAATTCAAAATTCTTATATATTAAATTTTTGTTACCAAATTATTAGTTAACCAATACAGCTTTTTGTAAGCATCGATTACTTATTTGTTGAAGAGGTCTTAGCATCCTTCCTTAGGTAACTCCTAAATTGATGGTATTTTGTTACAAATTACAAATTTCTCTAAAAAAAATCTCTTTTTTGTCACACCTCTTGTTCATTATTATACAGAAAAAATATTTGTATTTGTATTTGACATTTCCAGTATCAAGAATCATGTGTTTTCCCTGTAGCGATATTGACTGCATGTACATTTTTATTTATTGGATAACACGATTGTTGGTTTTGATCAAATTATTTCAAATATTTAATACGACTAACCAAATTGTTAATCAAATGCAGCTTTTAAAAGTTTTAACTGTAGTTTTATTCTAAATTTATTCAATTATATCGCTGCATAGCTAAATTATAGATTTTTATTCTTTTATTGCTAAAACAATTTTGATCAAGACTTGCAATCGAAGTTTCGAAGAGTTGACTTGAATGATTAGACAAAACATAATTTTGTTTACAAGTTTATTATTCAATTCAAGTTGTAAAAATTATTTAACTCGATTTCTAAAGGATAACAATCAGCTTTATACAGTTTTCAAGTTTTTAATGTTTAAGTTTTCGAACATTTTTCATTATTTCATTTTACAAGTTTTATTGAATTTCTTTTATGGCCTTTTCTAATAGTTTGTATATTATTCAAGTCAACTAAATTTGTTTTTGTCTCGATTAATTGTAAAGGTTTCACATATTTTATCTAGTCGTATAAACAATTTTGATTCGATTAATATCATTTCATTTCATCGGTTAATTAAATAATTCTCTCGAATAATTTTTTTTTCTAAGTCCAAATTTTCTGATTCTAATTCTTTCGAATATTTTTTTTTTAAGTCCTTTCAGATAATTTTTTTTTCTAAGTCCAAATTTTCTGAAACCTTTTCAATTAAGACAGACGAGTTATTTATGCATGCAGAATTATCCCAAAGCCAACATTCGAATGAATGAGGCTCACATTGAATATTTCACAACGAGAAAATTTTATTGGGGCAAAGTTAAATATTTTAACTAAGTCCCAGTAATTTTTTCTCGTTGTGAAAATTTCAACGTGGACTTTATTTCATTCGAGTGTTGGCTTTGGGAATTGGTGTGAGGGAACACTAAAAAACATAAAAAAGTTTCAACGCTGAACAGAAAAGAGAAAAATTGACCTGGGACTTAAGGAGTTTTTTTTTAGGCTCTCCATCCCTCCCCTTCCTCTTCCTCCTCCTCTTTCCCCTTTTTTTCGCTTTTTTTCACATTTTTTTTCCTTTTTTGGTGTTTTTTTCGCATAGTGTGGTTTTTGGGTAGATTTTCGGGTTAGACATGCATCTTCCGCAATGTGTCTCTCTCTGCGTGTGACCTCTCGCATCATGGACCTCAGGTTGACCATCACTTGGTGTGTTCGTTTCAGGACCCTTTGCGCTCGCCAACAGCCAGCCACCAGCACTGCTCCATTTTTTCTGCTTCAGAGTTCCTTGTAGTCGCCTTCAGCCGGATTCGATCCGTCTCACCTTGTGCCTGCCTCCAGAGTGACTTCACCGAGTATGCGGTCACTTAAACCGCTCGGCTATTTAAGTTACTGATGATAAAAGTTATTTTCATTCTCATATTATATTAATATTGAATTTGAATAAAGAATATGTATCATACTCATCTCTCTTATTCATCATCTGCCTCTACCCCTCTCTTTCCCCAGTGCTTCCTCTACCTTTTTTTTTTTTTTCTTTTTTTTTTCTCTTTATGTATCTCTCTTACAGTCAAGTGCGAAACTTGAGTTTTTTGTTTCTCAGAAATATTCTAAGTGTCAAGGTCGAAATGCGACACCTGAATTTAATATTTTGAACTAATATTTGATATTTATGAAAAACTATACATTCGATTTTTTGGAATTTTTAGCCTCTTCTGGAATCGAACCGAGACACGCTGAGCAATCGTAGTGGTCACTTAACCATCTCGGCCAATTGGTTTTACGAAACCGTTGTCTTTTGTAAAAATATAAAGTGTTATTTTCAAACTGAAAGATATAAGTTTCCTAAAAATGTTGTGTACGAAATGTGCGAATGGTCGAGGTCGTAAAGATACGGTTCAGGCCAGAATATCAATTAGAGGTTTGCCAGTTCGAACCCCATTTAACTGAAAAAAATATTTGGAACCAATAATTTTTCAAACTGTGTAAATAAATAAGACATATAGATAGAATTAAATTTATTGAGTGTCAGTATTACAAAAATCGACATAATATATATATATATATATATATATATATATATATAAATAAATATATATACACGCATATATATATATATATATATATATATATATATATATATATAAAAGATAAGAAATAGTAGGAGGAAAATTTTTGATAAATTTATATTTACGCCTGGTTAACAGTAAACCAAACCTACTTTGGTGTAATTTAAAAAGCTTATTATTTTTCCGATGAATTAACAGTCTATCAGGAGCAGCCAAAATTGGCCAAAATCGTGACTTTCAAATGCAATTTTATGGCCCTTAATGAATGAAATTAATAATTTTAATTAATGCTTTGTGTAGACTAAAGTACAATCTTTATACCAAACCAAAAAAATTACAAATTTATCATCGTCTTCATAGTTAAAATCAGCTTCAAAATTGGCGATTTTTCAAACTTCAATTTGGTACCAAGGGCAGAAGAATTTTGCTTTCCAAAAACTGATTTCATATTCGGAATCAGCGCCTCGAAAACTATCAGAATCGGTCAAAACATTTTGAAAATCGCGAAAAAAATTTTAATTTCATTAGTAAAATTTTGATTTTGCTACCAATGATTTCGATTTTTCGCAGCGGTATGTGGATTTATCCAAAAACGGATAATATTTTCGAAATCAGCGTCCCAAAATTAATGAAAACCAATCAAAACATTTTGAAAATCGCGAAAAAAAACCGTTTTTTTTTAAAAAAAATCGATTTTGCAACCAAAGATTTCGATTTTTCGCGGGGTGTATGTGGGTTTATCAAAAAATAGATAGCATTTTTGAAATCAGCGTCTGAATATCTTTTGGAATCAGTCAAAACATTTCCAAAATAGCAAAAACAAACCAATTTTTTTGCTAAAATTCCGATGTTGCAACCAAAGTTTTTGTTGTTTTGCAGTGATACAAGCCCTGAAAGCTCATCAAACAGGATAATTTCTTCCTTGGTGTAATCAAAAATCATCAAAAAACTTTGTCTAATAAGTTTTTGATTATAAATTTCCTGTCGGTTCTGATCGGTTCCTGTTCCTATAAGTACCTGTAATAAGAATAAATATTTATTCTAAGGGTATACGTTTAAAATAAGATTATTTGTTACTCAATACCAGACTAGCTAGCAACAACAAGTAAGCTTTGAATATTCTATTTGAAAATAAAACCACAAAAACTTGAAAAAGTGAAAAAATCCGTGGATTTTGACCTTTGAATAATTTGTATGTGAGTACAGCCGAATAGTTCATCATTTATGTTAAACGAATAACTTGATATCATTTCCAAAGTTTAAAAAAAGCCCTTAAAAGAATCCATTGATTCAATTCCAAATAATTCAGTTATTATAATCGAATAATTTGATATCATCACTGAAGTTTTTAAAAAAAGCATGAATAGCAGTCTATGGTTTTAATATGGTTTATGATGGATAAATCTAAATTTTATCTATTTTTTACTAATATAAATAAATTAAAATGCCTAAAACAACATTTTCAAGTTGTTTGATAAAATGTAGACAGACACAAATTCGTGTTATAGTTAAAAATTATACGAAATTTTAGTATCCAAGTATATATACTAGTTTGTACTAAACTCTAGTAAATTTGATATAGTTTTTACTGATGTAAATAAATTAAATTGTCCGAAAAGAATATTAAGAGCTATTTGAAGAAAAGTAGAAAAAGTCCCAAATCTATATATTACGTTTAAATTTGAGTTTCAACTGAAAATTATTCAAAATTTTGATATGCAAGTATATAAAACAATTTATACTATTTGTTAGTCAATTTTATCTAGTTTATACTGATTTAAACAAATAAAAATGTTCAGGGCACAATTTTAAAGTTATAACAAAATGTAAAAAAACGTCCAAAATCCACCTATAGCCAATTATTCAATCGACTCAAATCTCAACGGAAACGAAAATTCGCATTTCAACTACAAATTATTCAAAATGTTGATATCCAAGTATATATAACAATTTATACTATTTGTTAGTAAATTTTATCTATTTTCCACTAAAATAAACAAACAAAAACATTCGATACAAAATTTCTAACTTATTTGAAGAAATGTAAAAAAATGTCCCAAATCCACATATTGCTAACTATCAAACTCAAATCTGCGCTTCAACTACAAATTATTCAAAATTTTGATATACAAGTGCATATAATAATTTATACTAAATTTTAGTAAATTTTCTAAAACAAAATTTCGAAATTCTTTGAAAAAATGTAAAAAAATGCCTCGAATCAGCAAGATCCAAAAGTTATTCAAATTGAGTAAAATGTATTAGAAAAAATCCGTCCATGGATTCAATATGGTTGATGATTTATAAATATTATAAAACATAATTGTACTGTTAGCTAGCTAAAATCATTATTCTTCTTTTGAATGACATTTTAAAGTATACAGAGTTGCTTTATAAAAAATATAGGTAATTTAATTTTGTGCAATTTTTTTAAACATTTCATTGGCATTAGATACACTATTTAAAAGTTACAAACAAAAATCCATCTATCATTCTATAATTATAATAATTATGACAATTGTTTCATCAATATACTTTTTACGTGTCTTTCATAAATATTATGGGAAGAAAGTGGTTTTTGTAAAAATTCAAGAATATTTTTGTTCTTAAAATTGCGATTTTATTGAAAAATATTAGTTCTAAAGCAGACAAACTACTAGAATACATCAAACTCTTTATATTAAAATTTATTCAATATATAATACAAATAATTTTAATTTTATCAATTATTAATTAGTAATAGCACTTAGGATTTAAAAGAAAACTATTACTTACAAATATTTTTCGACCCATTTATGATGTAAATATTGAATTATTAATAACAACTGCACTTATTATAACTATTATTAACACAAAAGAAAATATACTAATATATTTTTCAAAGAAAATCATCTAAAAACTAATTTCTTTGTATAAATAACATACCTTTTGTTTGAACAATGACAAAAATTACTTCACTCTTTTGAAATATTTCTGATTTTGAATAATAATAATAAAGCAAGAAAAAACGCATACAATTGGAACTATTTTACTTGATTATTAAACATTTATTTAATTAATTAACTATTTTGAAACACATTTAAAAATAAACCTGTCACAACAGACATTTTTAATCTAAAAACAACTGTCAAGTTTGACGTTTGACATTTTTAACCTCAAACCAATATAATTTAAATTTAATGTTTAAAGTGATAAATTCATGTATTAAAAACTGTTTTGGACTTAAATAAATACTACAATGTAAGCAAAAAATATATTTAATTAGAATTATGCCAACAGTTTGTCAAAATATTTATGAATGCATAAGCCTAAACCACTTTTAATATCTAAAACATTATTGGGTACTTACCTAAAACATATATTCACTCAAAACACACTTTAACTTTAAATCTATTTAAATTTGTGACTTGTAAATTTATTATTATTATAAAGAAACTTGTCCAAGCAAGTCTCAGCACAGACTGAATAATTTATTTTAATAATTCTTACCCAAAAATTAAACATAGGGTATAAAATATATATTTATAGACTGGTAACATAGTTGTTATAATAATAATAAAACCAATAAATAATTTTCAATTGTTGTGTGTATTCTATTTTTCAAAATATACATCTATATATATATATATATATATATATTATAAATAAATTTAATTTAATTTAAAAACCCTTCAGCATCATTAATAATGTTGTAATTATTCTTTATTACTTTCATTAATATTTTTATATTACTGCACATATAAAATATATAAAATTTATACATATATAAAATATTTGCACTGTATTCTACAATATAATAAAAATCTTTCAAACACTTTTTTACAATCTCAATAAATAAATAAATAAATAAACATATATCTACTACCCAGTTCTTTTCCTCTTACCGCCAATTTTACCCATCTCTTCCTTCAATTTTTTTATACAATCCAAATGGTGCTGTATATGAAACCTGTATAAATTTTTACTCATCTCTACAGGATCGATAAAATTATCATCCATGAATTGCAATTTATGCTTCGTAAACAAATGCATTTTTTGAAAAGGCTCCAAAGCTGCAATTGCTAAAGCTGCTAAACTATCTGCAGCCTTTTTGTTTTTGGCTTTTAACATCTTTTGACGATTAGTAAGAACTTCTTCAGGTTTACTTTTTAGAAGAATATCATTTGATAGGGATATGTAGGGATCGTTTGGACCAGGTTGTTGGTGGTTGAAGTATGATGTAAGGGAATCTAAATTGAAATCACTCGTGCTGCTGATTTTTACCAGGACGTCTGGTACTTTGGCATCTTCTTGCTTAACTGGAAAAACAATTTTCTCTTCAGCAATTTCATTTAACAAAACATCACTTTGTAACTCCTTCTGATCATCATTACAATGTATTGAAGTCTCAGACAGTCTTGGGAATACTCTTGGTCTTCTACATAACCGTCCATAAGTTTTCAATTTAAAACTTTCACCTTTGGTAGAACTTTTTAGACGAATCGGTTTAACCAATTTGATCAATTGGTACAAAGCTTGTGCAGTTGTCCGATCTTCATAGTTAACAATGTGTACACCAACTTTTCTCAAGTCCAACATTTCTTTAACAGAATACATTGCTGAAGGTATTATTGTTATAATGTTTTTATTCATATAACGTCTGAAATAAATAAAATCATCTTGTTTATATATATATATATATATATATATATATATATATATATATATTAGGATGGTCCATATATGTATTTGTTCCAAAAGTTGAAAATTGGTAAATGCAGTTGTGTAGAGAATTTCATAAGCTTCTTATATGTATAAAACAAAATTTATGTGTTGTAACAATTTTTTGCGCAATTCAAACAAATGTGAGAAAATGTATAACCATTTTCATTTATGATTGCAATTTTATTAAAGTTTGACGACTTTTTTCGTCATGTTTTTGTTCTAAAAGTTGAAAATCGTTAAATGCAGTTATTTAGAGAATTTTATAAACGTTTCATTCATATAAAATACAATCAACGTGTTTTAATAAGTTTTTGCACATTTTAAACAGATGCCACAAAATGTTTAAAGCATTTGTTTGCTGAGTTATACGAATTCAAAGTTTGATGATTTTTTTCGTAATATTTTCATTCCAAAAGTTGAAAATCGTTATATGTAGTTATGTAGAGAATTTTATAAGCTTTTTATCTATATAATATAAAATTTATGTGTTTTGACAAACTTTTGCACAATTTAAACAAATGTTAAAAAACGCACAAACATTTCGTTAGCAGTGTTACACAATTTTAAAGTTTGACGATTTTTTCGTCACGATTTTGTTCCAAAAGTTGAAAATCGTTAAATGCAGTTCTGTAGAGAATTTCATAAGCTTTTTATACATGTAAAATAAAATGTATGTGCTTAAAAAAGTTTTTGCACAATTTAAATAAAGGTCGAAAAATATGCTCGCATATCAATTCTTATCGATTAAGCGCTACCACCATTCTGGAATTATAGAATAAATTTATACACAAAAATATTTAATTAGTAATTGTAATATTTACTTTTATGTGTTCAATTTTTTTTTCGGACAATTTCTCTCGTGGACCTCCTAAAATGAATATTTTTGTTCCTGATAAACTTCTCTCGTATATTTCGTCCTTGTTACTGAAGAAATCAATTTTATATATTAGTTCGAGTATATTAACAAATTTGTAGAATGTTGTTCTGCGACCAATCACATGACGTATGTTATTAGTTAATATTGTTCGTTCGTTTTTTTTCGTTTCCTTTCGCCCCTTTCGCGTAGGTTATAAATAGGAGTGCGCGAAGGAATTCTTGGCAGTCGTCGGCCGCGTCCGGCGCCAGCGTCACCTATGGCGGCGCTGAAAGCCCCCGGGGCACCAGACCGGCAGCTCCTGTGGAGCTGGAGTGGTCAGGAGCCCCGGGGCATCCGCCGGAGACTCCCGGCCACGGAGATTCCGTGCCACGGAGACTCCGAGCCACGGAGATTCCGTGCCACGGAGACTCCGAGCCACGGAGACTCGGTGCCACGGGGATTCCAGGCCACGGAGACTCCGAGCCACGGAGACTTCGTGCCACGGAGACTTTGTGCCTCGGAGATTTCGTGCCACGGAGACTTTGGGTCACGGAGACTCCGTGCCTCGGAGACTTCGTGCCACGGAGACTTCGGGTCTCGAAGACTCCGTGCCTCGGAGACTTCGTGCCTCGGAGACTCCCGGGTCATGGAGACTCCGCGCCACGGAGACTCCGAGGCACGGAGACTTCGAGCCTCGGAGACACCGTGCCATGGAGACTCCGGACACGGGGACTCCGTGCCATGGAGACCCTGGGCCACGAAGACGGGATTGCGACGAAGTCGATTCAAATTGTATTTTTATAGTGTCCTAATTACATTTCACTCTCCGCGTGCGGAGTCTCCGGGGCCCGGGGTCTCCATGGCACGGAGTCCCCGTGTCCGGAGTCTCCATGGCACGGTGTCTCCGAGGCTCGAAGTCTCCGTGCCTCGGAGTCTCCGTGGCGCGGAGTCTCCATGACCCGGGAGTCTCCGAGGCACGAAGTCTCCGAGGCACGGACTCTCCGAGGCACGGGGACTCCGAAGCACGGTGTCCCCGTGGCTCGGAGTCTCCTTGGCACGGTGTCCCCGTGGCTCGTAGTCTCCGTTGCCGGGAGTCTCCGGCGGATGCCCCGGGGCTCCCGACCACTCCAGCTCCGATGGGAGCTGCCGGTCTGGTGCCCCGGGGGCTTTCAGCGCCGCCCTAGGTGACGCTGGCGCCGGCCGCGGCCGACGACTGCGACGATTTCCTTCGCGCACTCCTATTTATAACCTATGCGAAAGGGGCGAAAGGAAACGAAAGGAAACGAAAACAAACGAAATTAATTAGCCAATTTTCGAGCGTTGTGATTGGTCGCAGAACAGCATTCTACAAATTTGTTAATATACTCGCGAATTAATGTATGAAATTTATTCCCTCAGTAACAAGGACGAAATGAACGATAGAAGTTTATCAGGAGCAAAAATATTTATTTTAGGAGGTCCCCGAGAGAAATTTTCCGAAAAAGATATTGAACACATAAAAGTAAATATCATAGTCACTGAATAAATACTTTTGTGTATTAATTTATTATCCAATTCCAGAATTATATCAACAATGGTGGTTCAGCTTAATCGATAAGAATTGATTTGCGAGCACATTTTTCGACATTTATTTAAATTGTGCAAAAACTTGTTCAAGCACATACATTTTATTTTACATGTATGAAAAGCTTATACAATTCTCTACATAACTGCATTTAACGATTTTCAACTTTTGGAACAAAAACATGACGAAAAAAGTCGTCAAACTTTGAATTCGTATAACTCAAATGCTTTATACATTTTGTGACATCTGTTTAAAATGTGGAAAAACTTGTTACAGCACATAAATTTTGCTTTACATCATTAAAAAGCTTATGAAACTATCTACATAACTGCATATAACGATTTTCAACTTTTGGAACAAAAACATGAGGAAAGATTTTGTTAAAATTAATTTAGAAGAATTTGAGCCCTTGGGAGAAAAGAAATTCGAAAATGTCCATGCTAAGGACCACCCTAATAAATATAAATATATATATATATATATATATATATATATATGTGTGTGTGTGTGTGTGTGTATTATTCATATTTCTATTACCTGTAACAATCATCGATGTTCACACAAAATGCTTTATTAACAACTCTTAAAACAGCATCTCTAGAAGTTGTAAAATATGAATCAGCATTTTGGATTCTCAAAAAAGCATTTCTGGAACACCCAGTGTATACAGAGTATCCTCGACAGGCTATTTCAAATAGCAAATCTTCCATTCCAAAAGTATCCATACTAATAACTATCTTCATGTTTGAATAATTCCTAAAATCAAAATTTTAATTACTTTGTTAGAAACATTTCAGTTTATATTTTCAATATATTTGGATATTTATTTCATCTTTGACTATTTCTTATATAATATATAGGAATAAATACTTATTACATAAAATTGTAAATATTGAAAAGAATGTCTGGATAAAATGAATAATTCAATATTTAGGCATTTCTTAATTAATTTATCATATTAAATCAATCAGTCAGTCAATTATTCGTTTTTTTTTATACAGTTGAGACTAAAATAGTTTAAATAATTTGTTACTAACATTAGTATTAAATCACGAAGATATTTTTTATTTATGTAACAAATAGCATTTCGAGGTACTTTTTTATACAATTTTAAACTACCTAAATTGTTACAAGTAATCAAATATAAATAAATTAAAGTGTCTAGAACAAAATTTTCTAGTTGTTTGATAAAATGTACACAGACACAATTTCGCGTTCCAGCTAAAAATTATACAAAACTTTAGTATCCAAGTATACGTACTAGTTTCTACTAAATTCTAGTAAATTTTATCTAGTTTTCACTAATATAAACAATTATAAGTGTCCGGAACAAAATTTCCAAGTTATTTGACAAAATGTAATGTAATAAGAATCAAGTCTACAATTCCAATTCATTTCTAAATTTTAATAATTTTAATATAGTACCTGATAATACTTTCAATCTTATCAGCAGCATTTTGCACATTAAAATCAACAGGAACATCAATAATAGAACTATCACAAATTAGAGTATCTATTTGTTCTTTCTCCCCCAAATCTTTGATGTATGAATTGTTTAAAATATTGGACGTTATGCACAATTTTCCAGTGTATAGATAGTCTTGATCATTACCTACAAAATAAATAAATAAATAAATAAATAAATAAATATATATATATATATATATAAATATATATATAAATTTATTATTATTATCACTTACATGTAAAACGATACATGACAGTTCCAGTCAAACTCTGAGTATCAATCGCTGTGACATAAAACTGGAAATCGCTTACAATGATCAGAGTTTTTTTTCTATATGTGAGTGGTCGTAGTAAATCCTTATTTACCTAACAAAAAATAAATATTTATATTGTTTACTATAGTTTATTATTATATACAATTATGGTTTACCTTGGTGAAACATGCAACAGCCCTTAAATTTGGTTCCGATGAATAAATTGGATATGGCCATGTACTGTTTATGGCCGAGCTGATGTCTGGTGATATTTTGCTTAAGAAGTAAACCGTTTTGGGAGACTGGAAAAAAATAAATATGTGTTGATATATATATATATATATATATATATATATATATTTGAGTAGAGCCTTAAAGAATCCAATAGTAATAAGAAAAAATTAGTAAATTTTGATAAGAATGATTTATGAAAGATAGGATATTATATAAAAAATAATACATAATAGAAATAATAGTGAATGAATGGATTATGTGAAAAATTATTAAGATAATAGCTAGGATTTTTTTTGAAAAAATAGGGAATTAAGAAAAAAGCAGAAATATTTATCTGCATAATTTAAGTTTAGCGATACATTGTTTTGAAACATTTTTTTGCATTTTGTCAAATAACTTAAAATTTTGGTCCTGGACATTTTTATTTGTTTATTTTAGTATAAACTAGATGAAATTTACAAGAATTTAGTATAAATTGTTTTATACTCTTGAATATCAAAATTTTGAGTAAGTTTGCTAAGTTTGAGACTTAGCAATATGTGAGTTTGGGAAATTTTTTTACATTTTGTCAAATATCTTGGATATTTTGTCCTGGACATTTTTATTTGTTTATATTAGCAAAAACTAGATAAAATTTACTAAAATTTAGAATAAATTGTTTTATACTCTTGGATACCAAAATTTTGAATAATTTGCAGTTAAAACGCCTGATTTGACTTGATAATTAGCTATAGATTAAGTTTTGGGACATTTTTCTATATTTTGTCGAATATCTTAGAAACTTTTTTCCGGACACTTTTATTTGTTTATATTAGTAAAAACTAGATAAAATTTACTATCAATTAGTATAAACTGTTATATATACTTGGATATTGAAATTTTGAATAATTTGTAGTTGAAACGCCTGATTTGAGTTTGCTAACTAGCTCAAGGAGGTTTTGGAACATTTTTTTACATTTTGTCAAATAACTTGGAAATTTTGTTCCACAGATTTAAATATATTTATTTTGGTAAAAACTAGAAAATATACTAAAATCTAGTGTAAATTGTCATATACACTTGGATAGCAAAATTTTGAATTATTTGTAGCTGAAACACAGATTTGAGTTTCATAATTGGCTATAGGTATAGGATTTGGGACATTTTTTTACATTTTGTCAAATAACTTGCAAATTTTATTCCGGCCACTTTTATTTATTTATATCAATAAAAACTAGATAAAATTTAGCAAAATTTAGTATAAATTGTTATATATACTTGGGTATTAAAATTTTGAATAATTTGCAGTTGGAACGGGTGATTTGATTTTGTTAATTAGCTTTATGTGGTTTTGGGACATTTTTTTACATTTTGTTAAATAATTTGGAAATTTTGTTTTAAACACTTTTAGTTGTTTATATTAGTAGAAACTAGATAAAATTTACTATCAATTAGTATAAACTGTTATATATACTTGGATATTGAAATTTTGAATAATTTGCAGTTGAAACGCCTGATTTGAGTTTGCTAACTAGCTCAAGGAGGTTTTGGGACATTTTTTTACATTTTGTCAAATAACTTGGAAATTTTGTTCCACAGATTTAAATACATTTATTTTGGTAAAAACTAGAAAATATACTAAAATCTAGTGTAAATTGTCATATACACTTGGATAGCAAAATTATGAATTATTTGTAGCTGAAACACAGATTTGAGTTTCATAATTGGCTATAGGTATAGGATTTGGGACATTTTTTTACATTTTGTCAAATAACTTGGAAATTTTGTTCTAGACCCTTTTATTTTTTCATATCATTATAAACTAGATAAAATTTACTAAAATTTAGTATAAATTGTGATATACACTTGGATAGCAAAATTATGAATTATTTGTAGCTGAAACACAGATTTGAGTTTCATAATTGGCTATAGGTATAGGATTTGAGACATTTTGTCAAATGACTTGCAAATTTTATTCCGGCCACTTTTATTTATTTATATCAATAAAAACTAGATAAAATTTAGCAAAATTTAGTATAAATTGCTATATATACTTAGATATCAAAATTTTGAATATTTTGTAGTTGAAAATCAATAAGTATCAGTTAAAAAAATTATTCCGGACACTTTTATTTGTTAAAATTAGTAAAATCAAGATAAAATTTACTATCGAATAGTAAAAATTCTTATATACACTTGGATAATAAAATTTTGAATAAAACCAGTTGGAATAGGGTAAAGATTGGCCAGACTCATAATTAAATTCTTTAAACTTTGTAGTTCTCAAAAAGAGTACTGAATGAATAATTGTTAATATTTGTTTGATATTTTTGTTAATTTGACGAATTTTGTGCTTAATTATATCAATCATCTAGAGGAAAAAATATATTAATAAAAAACTAATTATATACTTAACACATAAAGGCACGTTCCCGATAAAAAAATATTATATCTGAATTCTGGCACTTAGAAAATATTAACTGGAGTTAAACTGTCTGTAGCATTTATTTACAGCATTTTAAATATTAAATAAAAAAGTTGAATAAATAATCTAGGATTTTGTCTAACATTACAAGACCCTCCAGCAACTCAGTATACTTGCAAATCACCCATAAATTAATTTAGCAATTGTTTATATAATTAATTTTATTTAATAGTTACACATTATAGTTATTAATGATGAACACCATATTGAGAACCAAGAGAGTATAACTTTTAATGAAAAATTACTTTAAATAAATAAATATTGTATATATATATATATATATATATATATATTATATATATATATATATATCTATAGTATATATATATCGTATCTCTATATCTATATATATATATATATATATATATATATATATATATAGATATCTATATATATTGCCATTTACCTTTGGTTTCTTTCCTTCCTTTCTTCCCCGATCAATATAAATCCATTTATTAATCACAGTACCATCCATCACAACGATTTAAAATCAAAACAAACGAATTTACAACTTTCAAAAAACTCAATTTTCCAATTTAAACTGAACTAAACCTTATCGAACAACTTCAAATTTATATTGAGCAAATATTTAAGATACATTTTGCACTTTGTATTTAATTTGATACCTGAAAGGTTTCTTAGAATTTAATAAAATTGAAAAGAAAACTATTAATGTTGACATTTGTAAACTTGAACGAGCTTGCTTGTCAAAGTAGTTCGGGCAAAAGGACGACTGTGGCGCTGCTGTAGGAAAATGACAGTTGGAATTTGAAAATATTCAATAATAATATAATATTTTATTATTTTACTTTAGTTTAACTATTTGGTTTAGTACCTGAACGGTTTCTTCGAATATAATAAAATTAAACATAAGTATTAATGTTGATTTATCCTAATATGGATGAGCAGGCTTGTCAAAATGATTCGCAAAATGATCTGTGGCGCTACTGTAAGAAAATGATAGTTGAATTTAAAAATATTTTAATGAACTACAGTAGAATCCGATTAGTATTACGCCGGATATATTGACAACCGCTTATTATGACGTAATCGCACTAGGAAGTTTGGTTTCCATATAAAATTCCTTAAAAAAACAGCTGTCTGGTCGGATATATTGACATCGCTTACATTGACATGTAATGACCCATTTTTGCAAAAAATTATGTCCAATTTATAATGACCGACATGATTTTACATGAACTTACATTAAAAAATCACATTTGTACGTTTATGGGTAGGGTAGACTAATTATTAATGGTTCACCACGGATATCTAGTAAACAAATAAAATTAGATTTTTTTTAACAAAAATATTTGATAGTAGTAGAGGGCAAAAAATGTATAAATTCATAACCAGCCATCACCTTTATTTTTATGACTTTGTTATCAGAAGATAAGCAGCACATGAGTGGAATAAAAAGGACCAGCAGAACATTTACTTTGGCAAAGGTGTAAGCAATAAAATAGTAAAGTTTAAAAAAAAGCAATTTTACAAGAGATTAATTAAATAAATTGTTATTGCGGCTCGTCTGATAAATATTTCTGACCAATAGCAGATCAATGTAATACACTGTGTGTTATCTTTGTAACAAATGTACCCACAGAATTAATATTTTGCATTGGTTCAATAAATGTAGCGTAAAATCCCTTTAAAATTTAATAGAAGAAATTGCATCTGTTTGCCCCCTGTTTGTCCCACTTTACCCCGTATGTGAGGTAAAATGGGTCAGATACTAAATTTAAAAAAAATAGAAAAAAACATAATATTTATATAATTAGGAATTATGTGAATTTTTTTCTGTACATAGTTCGATAGATGCTTCTTTGATGTATGTTATGTGTTGTTCATTGGGTTTAGACAGTATAATTACTGAAAGTCAAATTGGACCTTTGTGCACCGCCCTACCCTATGTCAATTTTATTTTATATTAAATTTAAATATGTGTCATTTTTATTTTCAATTAAAATGTATGTACAGGCTTTTCTTTTAAATTACTGGAACATGTAACGTATTTACATATTAAAAAGTTTTTCTTCAGTATGCTTTGTATGACAACCGGTTAGTATGACGAGATTTCGGCGTCCCTTCGATGTCATACTAAGCGGATTCTACTGTATTTTGTCAACTAAACTTTTATTACCTGATAACTTTCTTCGAATTTGATGAAATTAAATAGTAAGTTCAATTAATGTAGATTAAATTTGCAAACGTGTACTAGCCTTTTCAAAGTAGTTTGCAACAAGGACGAGAGCGGCACTGCTGTAAGAAATTGACAGTTAATAAACTATTTTATTAACTACCTTGATTTAGTTAAATACCTAATAGGTCTCCTTGCATTTAATAGAATTAAATAAACAAGTATTAATGTTGATATATCTAAACATGGATGAGATGGTTTTTCCAAGCGGTTTGCCAAAAGGACGATGATGACGCTACTGTAAAAAATTGACAGTTGGAATTTAAAACTAAACTACACCTAAGTCTGTTTTTACACGGTAGATTGGTTCCAGAAGAAGCCGTGTAAAAAAAAAACATGTAAAAAAAGACATTGATCTTATACAAAAATGGGTAATTTGTTCCTAATCTCTAAAACCTATTAAAATTAGTGAAAAACAAGAATTTTTAAGAACAAGAATTCATGT